CGGCCCGGTGAGAGATCGTAGGCGCTTGAACCTGACCGTGGCAGGAACGTAGGGAGAAGCGGGCGGACGTGGCCCCTCCCGGAGGTTCGCCGGCAGGGCTGATGTGCCGCGTGCGGGGGACGAGACGGCACAGTGTGGAAGAGGGCCCACGAGGCCACGTTTAGAGCCACGGGGCGCGTGGAAGTGACTTACGAGAGACCCTGGCACGGAGCTGGGCTCACGGCGGGAGGAGCGCGGTCCGGTCGGTCGTCTTACACTCTAAGACGCCTCGGAAGAGAAGCAAGTCGCAGACGACACCACGTTTGTTAGGGGCTGACGGGTCATTTACACACACACTCAGAAGCGAGGCAGCGATGCCCTCGGCGAGGGGATCATGTGCTTTTCATTTAGTAGAAGTGAAAGGTTACTGTTTTAATCCTTAAATGGAAGCTTGTTAGAACACTATATTAAGAAGGAACGGTTAATTTTGTTTCTTAAAAAAAAACAAACCGGAACGTTAGAAGGATTACAGGGATTTAATACGTGACTCCTAGGAGAACCAGAACCACACGTTTCATGGGAGAATAAAAGATTTTTTCACTTTCTAACTTTTTTTCCCTAAAGCAGATGGTTATTAGAAGCTTTGCCCTTTCCACACACGTGTGGTTTCTAGGCTACCGTCGAGTGACGCGAAGGAGGCTCTCACAAACCTCATCACAGGGCGAGTGCGGGTGGGTCGGTTCTCCAAATGCTATTTCTGAACCTTTATTTTTGAACCTTCTGTCCTGGAGGCTGACGTTTCTCTCTGTGGTCCTGAAGAGTTCAGTGAAAATTTCTGGACACGGGGGTTAATTTATTTATTTATTCTCACGAGAGCAGCGTCTGGACATCAAGCCAGAGAGAAACATGTGTCGCTTCTCCGAAAAATTCCGCGTGTGTCTGCCCCTCCTTCCACCCTCCCTGCCGGTGTCATGGCTCCGTTACTCGGACGCCGCGCACGAGGCTGGCGCTCAGTTCGTTTGTGCCTGTTGGTTCCGTTTGCTCGTGTAGTTCCCTCCTTGTCTTCATAGCCACTGTAGTGCTACGAGAGTGGGAGTGCAGCATCGGTGGCCATACTCTCCACGCGCAGCGGACTCCCAGCTGCAGTCCCCGGTGGGTGGCTGGCTGCCTGCCTGGGAGCCCGCGTCCTCCTTGTGGGAAAGGCGTTGAAATGCGTCATGAGAGCAGTCAGGTGCTGTTCACTTCTGAAATTCTCTTTGCTGCTTTTTTTTTGGTTTCGTTTTACTATAATACTGAATCGCACTCGGAAAGTATTTGCAGACTGAAAACTGTGATGAGATACAATGTCAGTTTTGAAGCAGCCGTCCGCCGCCGGTGATGGAGACTTGCGTGCGGTAAAAAGAGAAAAAAATCACACTTTGTCGTGAATACGTAATAGGGTTGTGCGATGATCGCCACCCGACTGAGGCCCCAAATGCTTTTCTGCATTCCGTTATATGGGCGCATGGACTTGAGGATTTCGTGGGAAGAGGTATACTAATTTTATAAACCGAGAAGTTTGGGAATTAAAGCAGAAAATGCCGTTTCCCAGACCAAGCCTTGAAACAGTGCACAGGGGACATCGCCCTTTTTTAACGGACAGCAACTGCTAAAAGCTAATTAGCACCACAAAGGGCCGATGGCAGCTGGTGATAATTTACCCTGCCCCAAGGCCAGGCGAACCGCCTGGTTGACAGTGTGGTTTTGTGTTAGAGTCGCATCCTTGTATCCACAACTGACTCTAAAAATCAATTTCACGTTTAAAGACCGTCTTCGAGCATTCTCTCGTGCGTTCGGGAACACTCCCTGGCCCGCGCTCTGGTCTCCGCAAACAGGGGCCCGCCCCCGCCTTCTGACAGGCGGGGCCCACCGAGCGCCAGTCCAGACAGACTCTCGTTCTGTGCGGCTGTAAGGGCCTCCGTGGTGTAGAAACAGGCAGAGGAAAAGCATGGCCCTGTTTCCTGCTGGAGAGGAGCCTTGAGTCTCTCAGAGCTGCCCGAAATCGGAACACCCACGGGGACGGGCCCTGGCCATAGAAAAGTCACGGGAGCCGCCCAGGCAGCTGGACACGTGCTAGTAGCCAGACGAAAACGTCAAAGGAAATGGGCAACGTCAATCATTTTAATACTCCGTTTTATCCAGCCCAGTCCATTTCAAATATTACTGGTTCGTCATGTCATCAAAGTGAGCATGACGAATGAGACTTTTTCACCTTTCCCGTGCCGAGTATGGAAAGTTGCATGCCGAGTGTGCGCTCACAGCGGACCCAGGTCGGGCCGGTCACACTGCAAGGGCTCGGGGGTTCCGCGGCCACCGTACTGGCCGCGGGGCTCTAGAGCCAGTTTTCCCCGTCTCTCCGGTTTTCTGCAGCAGTGGACTCGGCAAGGCACTCAGTGGCGGGAAGGGCCGGCGGCAGTGTGGTTAACACCCTGGGTCGGCGGTCCAGCCATCGGGGGCGGGGGGCTGCCCGCTCCGGAGAGCTTCGAGTTGCCAGCTCTCTCTGTGACCACGTGCATGATGACTGTCCTCCGAACCTTCATTCGTGCAGAACCAAACTGTTAGTTCCATGGTTCACAGAGAAAACCCTCTTCCAGGAATTTTCTTTAGCAAAGATATAAGGCGTGGCAGTTTTAAGTGTCTTTTTTTTTTTTTTAATTTTCTAAAGTAAAATTTTAGCATGACCCAGTCAGCCCTGGCCTGGGCGGCTCAGTTAGTTGCAGCGTCCTTCTGTACAGCAAAAGGTTGTGGGTTCAATCCCCGGTTGGGATGTGTTCGAAGGCAACCAATCTATGTTTCTCTCTTTCTCTCTCTCTTTCTTAAAAAAAGAAAAGAAAAGAAATGCCCTCAGGGGAGGATAAAAAAGTAAAATAACCCAATCACGAACACTTGGAAAGACTTCCATTACAAGCCTTTTTTGGAGGCAGTGATTAAACACACACGTGTATTATGTTCATTCCCATTGGCTTTTCTTAAAAGGCGTTTGAGACTCAGAAAAATAACATCATTATGAACCTCAGAATAAAGGGCGCGGAATCCGAGGGCTGGAGTTTGCACTCTTCTTCAGCTGTGTTTGTCGTCTGGCCGTGCGGGCTACCTGAAAATGTGCGTCTTCTGAGGTTAGATTTGAAGAGTCAGAAGTGCCTGTGAAACGGGTGCTGGTTTATGCACCTTTGTGGGCTAAGCGGATCAAGCTCTAAACTTGTATCTGAACCCGTGGAGCCTGGGTATAGACGGAAAAGATCGCAGCCTTTCGGGGAGGCCGCCACTGCGAGCCCTCTCTGCATCGCTGATGACCGCGGCGACGCAGCCGTTTTCTCAAAACCATGGTTATAATTGGACCCAATGGGGGTCTCTTCCTTTGATCGGATCAGAGAAACTGTGACTCCACACTGGAAATGTCACCCCTGCGAAAGGCTTGTCACCTGTAGAGCTGGCCTTTCCTCTGATGCCCACCCCTCACTTCACTCTTCATTAGCATTATTCAAAGCGTAGTTGTTAATTAGGTTGACACCTCAATTAGCATCATCATCAACAAGCGTAGTTAGGACCACTGGCATAAAGGAAGGAAAAACTTTCCTTCCTTGCAGGTACTCATATGTGCATATGTAAAGGGAAGGTGACAGTGTTTTGCTAGCTGGTAGTTTTGTAAGGATGCGAGCCCGCTCCGAGAAGGGAGCGGTCCCACCAGAATTTGTCTCGTCACGTGCCGTACGCACATGAAGTCGTCTCCCCCCGAAAAAAGGAGTAATTTGCCCGTGGTGTGATCATGCTGACACGTTCATCTGAGTAAGGGCTGTTCTTAAGTAATGTGCCTTTCTCAGCATCCACAGAACTTGAAATGGAAGGACGGAAATGTAGGAAAAATTATATCAACCCTAGGGGCCTTTTAAAATGATGCCAGTTCAGGGCCCGGACTGGTGGGGTTCAGGGGGTGGGGCATCGTCCCACAGAGTGAAAGGTCGCTGGTTCAGTTCCTGGTCCGGGCCCATGCGTGGGTTGTGGGCCTGGTCCCCGGTCGGGGCACGTGCCAGAGGCAACCAATCGACGTTTCTCTCACACATTGATGAGTCTCTCCCTCTTTTTCTCTCCTCCCCCTCTCTGGAAATAAATAACATCTTTAAAGGTCCCATTGTGCCAATTCCCAGATAATAGAAATTGGCATCATTTAAACCCGTTACTACTTTAATCTGATTACTGGTTCACAAGGCAGTGCCGTTGAACTCAAACCGCCCATGAGCTCAAACTTGACGGCACTGGGTTCACAGCCCGAGTTTGTCACTCACTAGCTCTCCAGCGGGGGCTCACTGATTCACATCGTTTAGGTCCTGTTTCTTCATTCGTAGTGGGGAGCACGCATGCTTTTCCTAGAGGACCCTGAAGAGCAAATGAGACAGTGCGTAACATTTGCATAACACAATTCTCTCCTCACCGTAGGTTCTCGATAACTTTTCCTCATTGCCCTCCTTTTATCTAATAATGGTCCGAACTATTCAGCAAGTGCCTGGAAAATTGCATATGCAAACGAGGCTTCCAAAAATAAAGTGAAATAGTAAAGTGGCCCTAGAGGATCTGTAACAAATAGCCTCGCAGCGCAGAAATGAACTAGAGCCACCCCCACCCGGTTTCATCTCAGAACAAGTAGATACAGGTCATAATTGCTAAAAAAAAAAAAAATCTGCCGAAAAGCGGCTCACAAGCAGTTTACTGTAAAATAATTAAAGCTTATTTATGTCAAGAGGCCTTGGGAGAAAAAGAGAGCATAAAGCGATTTGCATTAGCAGGTTTCCCGGGTTCCTGCCTTCGGTCCAATTAGCGGGCCAGCAGGTGCTCCTGTGGGTGAACAGACGCAGCTCTCTCTCGGGAGGAGGCTGGGTTCGGGGCGGACCCACAGCCCCGGCGGCTTGCCTGCCTGCCCACCGGGTTGGTGCCTTGCCGGGCCCATTTCTGAGGCGTTAATTTAACCGTTGCTCTCCGCCCTGCAGGTCTCGGCCCTCAAACACAAGCTGAAGAAGCAGTCCACGGCGACAGGGGACGGTGTGGCCCGGGCCTTCCTCCGGGCACAGGCTGCTCTGTTCGGGTCCTACCGGGACGCGCTGAGATACAAACCCGTAAGCCCGCTGTTTGCGTCTGCGTTTTGATGGTTCTCTGGAACGGGGCGGGCAAGTCCATCGTTGTAATGTCACACTGGAACAGGGTATCCTAAAGGTCTTTTAAGATCCAGAAATAGTGTGCTTTCGTAAAACAAAAACTTCACGTTCCATCTGCAGTTTCTCCACTTTCTGGGCTTTGTCCCTGTAGGAACCTCGAGTTGACATGGCCCACATTCTCGTGCATGTCACCCTATTTATCTTTCTAAAACTGGAAGACTTGCCTCTTAACCCACGAATGGTATCAACGCATTTCTAAAAAACCACCCAATCTTGTTAACGTCATTCGGGAATTAACCAGACAATGGGGTGTATTACATTAAAGAGTGTAGAAGTAAGTCCAAAATGAAAGTTTAAAAATATTGGATCTTGAAAATTCTGCAGTATTTGGGGATGTATTGTCTCCGTCATTTGTAACAGGCTCATCCATATAGCGTATATTCCTTGCTCATTTCACCATTTCTTTTTCATTTTAATATCCTGACACGGTTACTGTGGAGAATTGTCGCCAAGATTTGAGATTGTCCCAAAAGGTAGAAATCAAAATATGTTTGTGTCTCTCTCTGAATGATGGGTAAAGTGCGTTAGTCTGATTTCGTGGGGATCAGTTCAGTGCCCTTTTGTGCCCAGAGGAGTAAGCCGCAGTGGGTGGAGAACACGGACTCGGTAATGAGACCTGCAGTCCGTGGGGGGAAGAATTGCACCGATACCGCCCTGCACACCCCCACCCCCCAATTCCCCCGTCTCTCCGGACCTCCGCCTTCCTACTTATAAAACACCAGTTTTCACACCTGTCGACCTCCCGGGGCTGGCGTGGAAACCCCGCCATCAGCTGTGATGCCCCACACAAATGTGAACGGCTTATCCTTTTGCTGCACTGACCACGGACGCAGTAGCTCCCACCCAGCGGCGATGCTCGCGCCTCTGAGGCGTCGCTGGGCTGTTGGAAGGGGTCCCCGAGTGCACAGGCAGATGCGGCGTCAGCATCCCTGTCTAACTGGCAGGCTGACTGTCTCTGGAATACGTGTGTATTTTTTAGAGCATTGTAGGGCTCCCAGCACTGCACGTAGGGCACGCATCTCACACAGGGGGTCTTCAAACACCACATGGTTAGACGGTCCTGTTCTCGAAAAGGCTGGGACGCAGCCATCTGTCTCCGCCAGCACATGTTCACGGTCAGGTGGTTGAACTTCGGCGAGACAAACGTGAGCTTCCAAGACACAGGGACTAATTTGAGTCGTCAAGGCTTTAAAAAGAGAGATTGACTTCAGGTTCACAATACAGGAGGAAAAGTCAAAAGGATCGCTTTGCTTGAATCACGCCACATTTAAGTACTTCGGAATGGTTACAATCTCACGTTTCCTTTTCCTTCCTTAATTGAGGACAGGATTTCAATGACTTGGACTGTTTTTTAAAACATCTTGGAAGCCCATCTTCCCGGTGTCTGTGGGAAAATGTGTAATTTCATCGTAGGATGCCTTTCTGTGTACTGAGCACATCTTACTCTGAGTGTATCTGTTCATGTATCCTCACTTTCCTGTTTCTGTGTGATGTCTTCTTCCTCTCGCTGCCGGCTCCTTCTGGGAGTTGGGGACGGCGTGTTCATTCCGCACACTTGCTGCTGCCTCAGCCTTCGAACAGGAGCTGCATTTTGAAAGTATACCGAGTGTGTTTACACTGTTTCTTTTTTTCTCTACTTCTTATCAAAAGCAATAGTTGTTAAGGGAAATTATTTATTTCTTTGTTGTGCACAAAATATCATTTGCTGTTTCAGCCGTCACCTTTACAAATGACCCTGCATTCTAATTTATTAAAAATACATGTACTTTGTGTTATAAAACTCCTTATGGACTTTTATGCAATAGGCCCATGTCTCTGGCATACGTTTGTGACTGATGGGAAAGAAGACCCAAGCTTAGAAGTTACAGTTGTTTAAGGGTCTTGTGCCTTTGTGTACATGTATCTCAGTAGCGTCCTCCAGCGATGAGCGTACAATTGGAAAAGAAAAAAAATTGCTAATCAGCATTAACCGGCTATGACTTCTTTAACTAGGTACTGTTTTTCAGAGTTTCGTGGCCGTTCGCACACACAGAAAAACCTCGGTTTCCCTTTGGGGTGTCGGCAGCCTTGGCGAGAGGTCTGGGACCCACCCCTCCCGGGCCTCGGGGGGCCTCCCAGGGGACAGGCCACCTGTGACCCCCTTGGCTGTTTTCCTAAACGTGGACCTCAGTTCAGAGGGTCCTGCCCCAGGCTCCCAGGCCCGAGCTGCTCAGACGCCCGGCCCCTCACCGGCCGGCTCTTTCTCCGCCCCCAGCAGCGCTTCCGCCGTCTTCCTGGCCTTCCATGGCCGCCCTTCCCCCCGCCCCCGACGCTGGGGCGCAGACGACCCCTTCTGTCTACGGACTGATCGCGAGTGTTTTCTTTTCTTTTTTTTTTAAAGGCTTGTTTTTTTAAAGATTTTATTTATTTATTTTTAATTTTTTAAAGATTTTATTTATTTTATTTTTAGAGAGGGAAGGGAGGGAGAAAGAGAGAGAGAGAGAAACTTCAATGTGCGGTTGCTGGGGGTCATGGCCTGCAACCCAGGCATGTACCCTGGCTGGGAATCGAACCTGCGACACTTTGGTTCGCAGCCCGAGCTCCATCCACTGAGCCACACCAGCCAGGGCTTTGCCCGTGTTTTCTTTAATTCACCTCTTCTCCCTTTTAGTATATCATTCATCATATTTCTTATCATCTTTACAGATGCTCATCATTAATTAATTCCTATTAAGACAATAACTGACCACTGGGTACCCAGTGGGCTCCAGGCATGGATAGGCCCGTTAGATAAACTCTTTCGCTTCATCTCTACAAGCCTTTAAAACATGACCTTTTCCATTTAAAACATGAGGAAAGTGGTGTTTATAGGGTTTAGATAACCTCTCTAGGGTCCCCAGCTAGCCGGGGCTGGGACGTGCACTGGGTCCTGGTCCCCCCCTCCCGCTCTGGCCCCCGGCCCGGGTGGGATGCACCTGCTCTCTCTGGCGTCCGCCGTGATGTCACTCACGCCCGGAGACCGAGTTCCTGGACGTACGTTTCTCCAGAGTGAAGGTGCGTGGGAGGCGTTCAGTGCACACTTACTTGCGGGAGACAACTCGTGAGACAGAGCCTCAGAGTGTTCTCAGAGGAGCGCAGGGTGCGGGCCCCTCCCAGCCAGTGCGCGGGTGAACCCGGGAAACCAGTCATGGTGGGTGGAGCATATTGCTGGGAGTGGTCCCGTCTTCTGGGCTCTGCACCCCTGGGGCCCCTCCTTCCTCTCCCCCAGCCTCGAGAGGGGCCAGGTGGTCGGGGAAAGCCGTAGGAGATGCAAATACTGTTTCTAAATGCAGAGACTAAACAGGTGGCCTACCTACCTGCTGCCGAAGAGCAACTCACCTTATGGATGAACCACCTAGAACGGGGGAGCGAGGGACCGCAGCGGGAAAGTGGCACCTTTCTCACGGTGGCGCCTCTTTTACCCTCTTCCCGAGACACAGGGTCACGGCCGACCGATCGGCTGTGCCGGCAACTGACCACAGAGACAAACACAAATCCTTAACGCCGTTGGCAAGCGATTTAGTTAAAAGAATGGATATTTTGCTCTTTGGGGGGGATCTTAGCCAGTAGTGAGGTGGCTACTTTTTTTTTAAAGATTTTTTATTATTTTTAGAGAGAGGAAGGGAGGGAGAAAGAGAGGGAGGGAAACATCAGTGTGTGGTTGCCTCTCACGTGGTCGCCACTGGGGACGTGGCCTGCAACCCAGGCATGTGCCCTGACTGGGAATCGAACCTGCGATGGTGTGGTTTGCAGCCCGCGCTCAATCCACTGAGCTACACCAGCCAGGGCTGCAAGGTGGCTACTTTTGAAGACTTCAGAAATGCGAGCTCAGACCGATGTGCTGGGTGAGGTGTGGAGATGAAAGTGCAGGCCCCGCCCAGCACCCGCCTGTCTGGGTTCGGGTCAGACCCTCCCTCGGGGACTGTGGTTGTGTGTGACTTCAGTGCGCTAGTTTTCTCAAGTGTAAAGAAATGAGGTAATAGTATTTGGGGGGGCAGTTAGAGGATATAGGTAAGGGACTTAGAACACAGCTGACTTATAGTCAGGGGTCTCTGTATTAGCTTCTCCGTGAAACATGACGTGTCAGAAGTAGAAAACTCGGTTAGGAAGTCCCTTCAACGCAACTAAAACAAAACACCCTTCTCTGCTCCCCTAAAGGAAAAGCACAGTCGTAAACCTGAGGTTACTTTGAATTGCGGGATGCGTGTGATTGTGAATACGCACAATTCAGACTGATGATGTTAAATCTCTGGAGAAGATTGGTTTTCACATTGAGGGCGTGGAACCGAGCGGTTTCCAGAGCCCAGGGGACCTTCGGTTGGGAAGCTACGGTGCAGGCTCGCCGGGCGGGGGTCTCTCTACCGGCCGGAACCCGGCCGTGCTGCGGGAGGGTCTGCCTGACTCCCGCCCGCCCGACGCCCTTGCGCTTGGTGCTGTGTCCGCACCGTGTCCATGGCCCTCCCCGCGCCTCTTCACGGACACTGGCTCGTCCCGAGTTTGCGCTGACACCCGGCATCCTCTGTTTCCCCCCAGGGCGAGCCCGTGACTTTCTGCGAGGACAGCTTCGTGAAGCACCGCTCGGGGCCCATGAAGCAGTTCCTGGAGACCGCGGTCAACCTCCAGCTGTTCAAGCAGGTGAGAGCGGCCTCCGGCGGGCGGCCCTGCTGGGGGCGAGGGCAGTGAGGAAGGGACAGAGGCGTCTCGGGCATTTGTGTCGCTTCTGCGTCACCTCTAAACCCCGAGGAATGTCTTGGATAGAGTTTCCGGAGTTCTGTTCTTTCTTTTGTAACTCTAGAGTTATCATGGCATGGAACTCCAAAAATATTGGGTAATAATAACATTGCTATTAAAAAATTCCTCGTGGGAAGTGCTAAGCTGGTGGTCTCCCCGAGAGGGAGGATCACGGGCAGTCAAAACAGCAACGTGACTGTTTTCGGTGAGGCGCCGTCGACGGGGCGGGGGTGGGGGGCGTGGGGGGGCCGCTGCAGTGCGGCAGATGCAGATGGTGAACAGACGATGTTTTTTACAGGACAGTCCCAGTGTACCCCACTTTGTAAAGTCAGCCATGAATGTGCAACTTTTTAAAGCTTTGCAGGAATTTTTATAGCCATACATAGAAATTCAGAGAAAAAAAATCAGTAAGCTTACGGTGTCTCGATTTTTGGCTCGGAAAAGGTCACCACCTCCAGCAGGAGGTGGACGCCGGAACTCGGGGAAGGTGCCGCCCCTGGTCTTCCACCCCAGGGTGTGGCCACGGTCTTAGCTTCCGTCTACACAAGTTAGGTCCTTAACTCTTGCTTTTCTTCCGTCCCATGTGAGAATTTTAAGTGTCAGCTTAGCTGCGTGCATTCAACATCCACTGAAGAGCCGCGGTGGGTCACCAGCTCCGCCCGGGGCCGTGACGCAGGCGTGAAGGGGGCCCTCATGTGCTGTGGCCGGGCATGCGGGCTGGTGCGGCCGCTTGTGGTGGAGTGGCGGTGTGGGGGGTTCCTCCGGACGTGAGCAGTGCGTCTGCCCTGTGACCCGGCGATTCCACCTCTGGGTGTATGTTTGAAGAAACCCGGAATTTTAATTTGAAAGAACATATGCACCCCCATGTTTATTGCAGCATTATTTACAATAGGCAAGATCTGGCAGCAACCCAGCTGCCCATCACTATATATGGTGAAATATATATATATATTATTCATATATATATATGAATGACACAATATTAGTACTCAGCCATGAAAAAGAAGGAAATCTTACCATTTGCAATGGCATGCATGGATCTAGAGGATATTGTGCGAAGTGAAATAAGTCAGTCAGAGAAGACAAATACCTCATGATTTCACTTATATGCGGAGTCTAAAGAACAGTATACCTTAACAAACCAGACAGAATGCACACCAGAGGACACTTGGGCGCCACCACTTAAATGTGCACATGTCTTGTGGCCTGGCGATTCCCCTCGAGGTTACGCACCCTGAAATCATTCGCGGAAATTGTGCATGATGGCAGCGCGCCGGTAGCGATCTTGGCTGTTCGTCGGAATGGAAATAAATGTACTTTTGTTGAAGTAAGTACACTTTTGTATCCGTGCAGTAGAACAGTTCACGGCAGGGAAAAGAGTGAGCTGCCGCAACACCACGGGAATGAAGGAAGGGAAGGAGCTAGTCCTCGGAGAGGTGATGTGATGAGTCCTTTCAGGCCACGCTCAACAGCAGGAACAGTGAAATAAGGGGTCATTTAGGGAGACATCCACGTGATGAAAGGGTGAAGGAAGAGGCACACAGGGGAAGCTGGGGGGACCGTGGTCTCTCCCGTGGGGAGCGTGGGGCACACAGGGCGGGCCCTCTAACGACGGGAACGTTCTGGCAGTCTGTCTTATTTTCGTGAAGGTATTAACTATGTAAGTCATTACGGTTTCAGTCATTCAAGCACTGCATGAAAAGCGCATGTTGAAACGCTGCCGGAGGGCCAGCAGCCGGCCGTGGGCTGTGTGGCGGGCGGCTTCCGAGCCTCCTCGAGCCTCCGGCTCTGCCTCCGTCACCTGGGTCAGCCCCAGAGGCCACGCAGCCGGCAGGAGCTCCCCGCGCTCGCATTCCGCGATACCGTGGAGTAAACAGACCGAGACGGAGGGGAGCGGGCCCCGCTGGCTGAACTCCTCTGCAGATAATGCACTTGGAAGGGGTCCCAGAGGCAGCTCCTTAAGTAGCTCCGCAGCTCTGACAGCCCCATCCCTCCTTCACTTTACGGGGGTTTAAGCCGTTCTCTTTAGGGCTCTTACCTGTGACCTGCACGGGGTCTGCAGGTGACGTCACGGGATTGTCCCTGTGCCGATTCCCTGCCTTGAGTCCTGTACGGTGGCCGTGCCAAATGTCAGCATGGTGGGGGGGGGGGCGACACTGGGTGAAGTTTAGTGGGAACTTTCTTCTGTATTTGCAACCTTTCTATAAATCTGAAACTATTTAAAGTTTAGCAGTTTGGATTCACCCTGTATCGACAACCTACACCCTTCTCGAGGTGTAGGCTCTGTAAAGACCCGGATCGCTTTTCAAGTGTCTTGTATCCGAGTAACCGACATGTCACAGGCACTTCACGTTGCGGGGCAGAGCACTGCGGTAAAAGCCGCCGAGTGGCTCCCCACTAGCAGGCACGGGCGTGAACATGCTTTGACAATTTGGGTCGATGACGGGCTTGTGAAACCGAGCACAGTGGAACCCACGGGGCGAACACCCAGAACCTGAAGGAGTGCAGGGGCGCGGGGTCTCCGACGGAGCGGGGTCTGTCGCCTGAAACCTGGAGCCACGTTGTGGTGCATGGTGTGGAGCGAGCGCCGGGCCCTCCGTGCTCTGCCGTGACCCACTTCCCCGGCCCAGTGGGACGGCGGACGAGAGCAGCGGGTCAGAAGCCAGGCATTTCCCTCTCATGGCCGCTGGGGATTTTGGAAGGTTTCAGAAAGCTTTTCACGTAAACAATACATTCTTATAAATTTTCGACATTTTCCTGTCACTATTTTTAGAGAAGAAACACATAGTTGGCTATTTATGGCACGTAATTTCCAGCCAAGCTCCACACACGCATGAGTCGTACGGATGACGCAGCAGGTCCAGAGTGCTGGGAGCCTCCTGCCCACGATGGCCGTGAGGGGCCGCCGCACCGGGCACATTTCACGACAAGAAAAGGGAGGGGAAGGGGAATGTGGGCCAGGGGGCTGTGGAGACGCGCTGGCAGCAGGAGGAATGAACACAGAGAGAGAGAGAGAGTCTGCACAAGGATGCACGTTTGCAAGCTGCCTTGTTGACCCATTTCAAGCAGCGCCCTCAGCTGTGTTTTTCTAAGTGCGGTCTCAGAGCGCCCGCACCAGATGCCCGCACCTCCATCTTTCATGGAGGAAATCCATGAAAGATGCATGTTCTTCAGGCTTCCCTTCCGAAGTTCCCATTCAGGGGTCTGGGATCAAACCCAGGAACCTACGTTATTAGTGAAATATCATAAGCGCACACGCACTCAAGTTTCAGAAACTCGCGTCTCGTCTCAGTACTCTTTATCCCGTCCCTCATGCATCCATCCGTCGAGTGTGAGTGCCCGCCGCACCCTGGGCCGTGTGCCTGGTGCTGGCGGACTCCGGACAGCCAAGCAGGAAAGGGCGTCTGCTTCTGTGAGCCTTTCCTTGTGGCGGGAGGGGACAGAGAGTCGATGAAATAAGGTGTGTAGCGTGTTCAGAGCTGAGTCGTGTGGGAAAGTAAGTAGAACAGGAGTGGGGACCCCCCCGGGGGGGGGGAGGCAGGAACTGGAAAGGCAGCTTAGATTTCAGGGAGGGGTGGCCCGGGCCACCGTCCTGTGGGGTGGCCGAGAGGACAGCAGAGACGAGGAGGACTCGGAGGGTGACCGCTGAGAAGAGACGGCCGCTCGGGCGGGTCGGTGGAAGGTACGGCGTGAGCTGGCCGGATTAGGGGTCCGTTCCGGTGCCAGGGTCACTGTATGACCTGAGACATGCGGGCTGAGGTGTGCGAGGCGCAGGGGCCAGAGGGTGCTCACCCCCAACCGGGGGGCGGGAGACGGGGGGCGGGGAGACGCAGAGCTCGGTGCTGGGCACGCGAGCTTGAGACGTCTGCGGGGCGCCCCGGCAGCGTCTGGGGTCGGCAGCTGGATGGGTGAGGCCGGGCGGACGCAGACTGGAGGAGACACGTGCTCGGGGGTCATGCGCATGTAGAGGGCGTTGGAAGCCGCCCGGCTGGGGAGCAAGGGAGACGACCAGGGGCGTGCGTCCAGATGCAAGGAACAGTTGGTCCAGGGGCTGGGGAGTGGCCGAGGGCAGCCGCAAAGGGAGCTGGGAAAGACGCGTGGCCAGGTGAGTGGGAGAGGACGCCGGACAGTGACCTGTCTCCGAGGCCAGGTGGAAAAAGGTCACCGCAGAGCCGGGGACGCACACTGCCCCGTGCTCGTGACAGTTCGTCACGACAAGGACTTGGCGTCCAGCCCTGGACCCTGCCGTGGGGACAGCTTTACGGAAAGGGGAGCGTGGAGGTGGGGCCAGCTGGAGCAGCAGGTGGGTCAGGAGCAGGGGCCTGTCTGGGGGCCGTGGGGAAGCGCCAGCTGGGACAGAAAACACTCGCAGGAGGAAGGAGGCCAGGGGACTCAGTCTTGGGGACAGCCCAGACACTAGGAGGGAAGGCGGAGTCTCTGGGAAGGACAGGGAGGGGACAGACAGTGAGGTACTTAGAGCAGTGGCGGGCCTGGCCTTTTCCTGGCTTGGGTTCCTCATTTCCGGTGAAGCGAGGCCCCGAGCTGAGATGGGGAGGGGGAGGCGGCGGCTCCTTGAAGGAGGGAGAAGGCAGGAAGCAGACGGGAGACAGGAGACGAATGGACTGACTGGGGAAGGAGCAGGGTCGTTCCTGCCTGTCGGGGCGCACACACTGCAGATCCCGCCACAGGTGAATCCGAGGGGGCGTGGCCAGCCTGGTGGACGGGCCCCCTTGGGCACCTGCTGGGCACCATGGTGGGGGGGGCCTCCTGAGCACCTGCTGCTCCCAGCTGTCCTGCGTGGTTGGTGCCGGCCCCCTTTCCTGACCCCCTTCTCCCAGAAACCTCGGGGCTCCCTCCCTCCCTCGCTGCTGGCAGGTCTGGGCCGGACCGCCCCACCCTGATGTTCCCACCACGACGTCCCCACTGGCCGCCCTCGCTGTTTAAACGTGAACGCTGCCCGCCCCCCGCCTCCCTCCCTCAGTCCCCGGCCACCTTCCTACACCGACCGCTCCTCACGCACTAAATAATCGGTGTTTTTGCTTGTTTCCTGCCATTGTCCTCCCCCCCCAACCCCAGATGGTGGAGCATCGTGAGGGCTCGGGTTTTTGTCTGTTTCTTTCATTGTTGTGTTTCGTCTCCTAGACAAGTGCCTGGCATATAGTAAACATTCAATTAAATATTTATGGAATGATCGAACTAATTAATTCTTTGGTCCCCTGGTCATGACGTTCAACAGACGCGATTCCGCGGACAATTGTTTAAAGTCTGCCTGTTAGCAGACCCTGGAAGGTGCTATTGTCCCGTTCGTGTTGTTTGAAACTATTAGCTGTAATAAGGAATCGCGCTGAATGGGCTGCTTCTGCCCTTCAGAGTGTCCTTCTGTTTGTTCATCGTCTCATGGGAGTGGGACTTAGTGTACTTAACGGTCCTGCGCCTGCCTCACCTTTGGGATGAAATAAAACTAACAATATATCTCTACTCCTTCACATACTTCATTCTCTTGATTTAAGCTCCATCCTGACCTAGCTTATTCCCACTTGTTACAACAGCCGTGTTTATATATAGCTACTAACCGAACACCTTGCATTTCGCAGGTGTCCATAAACATCTGACGACTTAATTTATTGTAACACGTTAATGTGGTTTTCACTAACCTGTCAAGGTTTACGGAGCATTTATAAGGTGAAATATTTGAAATGAGACAACTTTTTTTTTTCAGCCCAAAACGTTATATAGCATAGAAAGTTTAAAGAGCCCTAAATAAGGAATGTATTTTAAAAGTAAGTTTTTTTATTGTATTTAGGGTTTTTTTTAATTGCTAAAGATTTCTGATTCATTTAAAATGTATTTTTCTCTAGCTCTTAAGACGTGAATTTTATTAAATTCGTTATCTTTGTGTCCAAAAAGGGTGGCTGATAGGAGATAATTTTTTGCAACCTGGTGACCTTTCCTCCAGGCGGCAAGGGCGAGTGGCCGTGGCCTGTGCTACCACGTGTGCTGCTCCCGGGCCTCAGGTCGGTGCACGGAGGGGTGGGCGGTCCTCTTGCCCAGCTGGGCGAAGAATCGCCCCCTGGCCCTCTGTCCGCAGAACAACCTCTTTCGAGCTTTTTAAAAGAATCAAATATTTCACTATTGCCATGCTCAGAGCTTTGATTGGTTGGCCGCAATTAAAGATTTGTGTAACATGCGTCCAGACCACGGAACCCACTGGGACCCCGATGAACAGCGTGACTTGGGGGGTTTTGGATTAAACGCCGAGAATGCGCTGACTGGTGCGGAGGTAAAGCATGGCGAGAAGCACGCGATTTGTCTCTGAGGGAAGAAGACCCCCTCCCTACCGGCCCTCTGGCCGTGGGTTCAGGTTCATCCGCGGATCGGACCAGAGCAGAGTCTTCATTGTCTTGTACAGAGCTCTGTCCTCAAGTCCATTCTGCACGCTTTGTTGCATGGTTAAAGTATGTGTTTTATGCTTCATTGTGTTGTGAACACCGAAGTGATGAACACTCATTGTCATCGAACAGTATCGCTGACTGAGGGGCATTTAAAACAACCAGTGATGTCTTTAAATTGACTCAGTTTCCTACCAAGATGGTCATTTGGAAACACTGTGGAAAAGCTGGAGTGACATCAGTATTAGCCAGATCGAGCAGGGGGCAGTTTCGCTGTTTGACACTCTCTCTCCCGTGACCTGTCACCCCACTGTCAGGCTGGGTCACCAGACTGACAAAATCCAGTTCCTCCGAGTAATGGGGCGATGTAAGGGGACAGTGTTATTGACCTTTGGGGTTATATATATTCTGATTTAAATCCATTTTATTTATTCATACTTTATAACATTTTGGAGTCCGTACTATGGAATTATGCCCATGAATATTTTTGAGATGTCCAGCAATTTGTGTTTTGGTGAGATCACCTTGCAGGTTTGTTTTCAAGTTTTAACTTTCACTTTGGAAATGCAAAGCACACTGCGGAGATTAATGTGGGAACCACCGCCTTACAGCCCTCTCGAATCCCTCTGAAGACCCCTGCAGCCTGATGCCGGTGGCACTTGCGCTGTTATTGGCGGCGCTGTCCGCCATGCCTCGCCACGCCAAACCCGTTCTCCCGTTCTCCCCACACACGCACGTCCCCCCGTCAGGGGAGAGCCGCCGCGTCAAGGGGATCGCGCGGGTCACTGCGGGTCAGGCTCTGCAGGGCCAGGCACCCTGCAGAGTCGTGGCTTTTCCAACATGTAACAGTTTGTTAGTTCAGAATTATTCCTGCGCAACAGCAGCCGAAAGTGTTCTGTTCTGTTTTGCTTACTACGAAATGCCTGCAGGGTGTTTGTTGACCCACGGTCCACGGGCCACCTGTGGCCCGGGATGGCTGTGAATGCGGCCCAACACAAAATCGCACGTTTACTTACAGCGTGATTTCTGTGTGGGATTACGGGTCGCAGTGTGTTTGATGCGTGGCCCAAGACAACCCATCTTCTCCCAGTGCGGCCCAGAGGCACCAGAAAGCCTGGGCACCCACTCTGCTGCGTTCTCAGAGTGGTGTGTGACCGAGGACCAGCCCCACTCGGGGCGGGGGTGGGGAAGCTGTTCTGGAGTCAAAAGCAGACAGGAGTGGGGAGCCCGGCTACCTTCCGCGGCCCTCCCCTGACGCCCCCTCAGTTCTCCAGAGCGTCCATACTTGTGTGTGTGTATGTGTATTATGTGTGTGTGCGCGCACGGAGTCCTCCTTCGCCCTTAAAAGCAGACGTTCGCACTAAGTGTGCGTGCCGATAAGTGTGTCTGGTGGTCCCTGGCAGGGCCGTGCGCAGAGTCGGCGATAACACGGGGCAGCTCCCCGGGTGATTGATGCGTGCACCTCCCTCGCCGGCCGAGTAACCTGGGGCGCCCGCTCACCCTCCGAAACGCACCATCAGTAAATAGTTCGGGATTTATCTCTTCTTCGACTCGAACGGTTCCACTCTGAGTAAAACGGATGGATTATTTCCAGTAAACACAAAAATGAAAACCTTTTAAAAAGTCCCGTAGCCTTAATCTTTGAAAGTGAATTAAGTCCTTTAAAAGGATGTCTTCGCTTGTTCCAATCGTCAGGAATGTATTACTTTAAATTCATCATCCTGCCTCTCCTTATTTTTTTTCCCCCGAAATGATCCTTAGTCCATCAAATCGGATCCCTCTAGTGTGATTTATAGCTATGTTGAAAATGCGCACAAGTCAAATTTCGCAAGCATTTTAAACTGCTGTACTTACAAATTAACCACTCGTTCTGTGTAAGAAAAATGCCAACATTAGAAGCTACTACCTGTTCTCGGAGACGGAGTGAAATGAAGAACCTTCCACACCCTGTAACTGCCCGACTGGGAAACCTCAGCCCCGTCAGCCGGCGTGTGCACGGCGGCACCCCCTCCCCCACCACCCCGGCAGCAGGCGCCCAGCCGGGCACCCGCTCAGGCCGCTGGGCGTTTGGTCCCCAGGGAAACGGCGACGACGGTGGGGACCGTGGACTTTGTTGTTAACGCCCATCCCGTGCCTGCGGGGAGGGCGCTGCTCGCTCTTCCGCGTGGTGCTCACCGACCCCGTGAGCTGTGACCCTCTCCCTCCCACTCCGCCGTCTCCCAGCCGGCTGGTCGCCCTTGACCCCGAAGCCGACGGTGGCAGGGTCGTGACACAGGCCTGTCCTGCTGCGGACCCCACGGCCGTGGTCATTGTTCTCTCGGACAGTGCCTGCCGTCCGAGCACAGCAAGGGCATGGCAGTGGACGAGCTGTGCTCCCTGCCCGCAGAGAGGCCTGGTTTTTCCGGGAGCGGCTCATACAAAAAAACAAAACAAAACAACAACACAAAACCCGTGACTGTATCTTCCTAAGCTACGTCTTTATTTAAACCTGTCTCACCACGTTTGGTCAAATTATTTGATGGCAGTAAGAAGGTAGCTAAACCGCACCTGCACAGGAATGTGTTGGTTTGTTCGCCGGTTTCCCTTCGTTTGGGTCTGCAGGGGGTTTTGTCTCGGTGCCGCCTGGGGAGCCCTGGGTTGCCCGCCCAGCGCCCCTCAATTAACCAACTAACCATTTAACCTTTCACGTTGAAAGCTAGGGCAGAGTGTGAGGAGTTTTTTTTTAAGTCAAGCCACTTTGTTTTAATTCGGGTAGCATTTACATTTCCGGGGTGAAAAAGCTAGGGATAAATGCACATTTTACGTCCAGCCCCCAATCTTCGAGTCCAGCATCAAACATCTTTTGTGCGTTTCCTGGGTCGCTGTCTGCCCCTGATGTACGGAGGGGGGACCGGAAGGGGACTTGCCCTTGGCCTTCCTCACGGAGGGAGGACCTCAGGACGACGAGGGTCCTCACAATCCGGGCGATACAGATATAGATGCCACAGATGGAGGAAATGAGGAGTCATTTCCAAGTCTCAAGTGATACACACAGATATGAAATGTACCATTGGTCAGCAAAATGATCACCTCGCGATAATCTTCAAAATGCAATCTTACCCTCCCCCGCAGGGTTCTGCCTATTTAAATTTTTAAGTCACAGTTTGATCTTACGAGATCAACGCCCATGAACCTGCCTGACACTTTTGTGTTTCAGTTCATCGACGGCCGGCTGGCAAAGCTGAACTCCGGAAGGGGCTTCTCCGACGTCTTCGAGGAAGAGATCACGTCCGGCGGCTTCTGTGGCGGTAAGGCCGGCGTCCGGTGTGATTTTCCGTTTTGCAGAGAGCAGCTGTCTTGATTTTTGCGCCTGCGTCTGACGTGAGCCGTTTCGTAAGCAACCACCTTCTCCTAAACCTGTAGTGTGTTCGAGGCATGTTTTCGCCTCAGCAGGGCTGTCGGTGGACTTCGCCCGTGTCCATCACTCAAGGCCTCAGCGTGGCCTCGCGTGGGTGGGCGGTGGTTCGTTTGTCGAGCTCTCACTACCCCTGGGCGCGGTGGTTGCCCCGAAGTGCCGAGTCGCTGTCCCCCGGCCCCTCCTCCCGGCTCGCCCTCCCTGCTCGCAGGTCCCCGGGGTGGCTGCTGCTCGGGGGGGGGGGGCGGGGGGGGGCGGGCGCGGCAGCAGCGGGTGGCGGCTCCACCCAGCAAGACCGCTGCGAACGCACCTCAGCTTCTGCGTTGCCGAGCGAGTGGCTTCGGCGGAAGCCCTTACTTCTCCGCTCCGGGGGCCACGGCGGCGTCAGGAAGGGACAGCTTCCCACCCCTTGGGCGGAGCTGTCCTGGAAGTGGTCTGAGGGGGCGTGTTGTTTCGTGGGCGCCATCCCCCGTTTTTAGTCCAGCTCGTTCACTTCGATGTGGCTGAGCAGCTGCGTTGCTGGGGGTGCCAATGAGCGAACCGCGTCCTCCTTGTCCAGGCGACGAGTGACGCGGGACCCGCGGGACCCGACGCCGAGCTTGAGCCCTTGGCCTGGCTGTCCCTTCAGCCGGTGGAGCCCTTGGCCTGGCTGTCCCTTCAGCCGGTGTTTGCTGAGCGCTTGTGCGCACGAGCATTGTTCCCGGTAACGGGGGGAACCACACACGCAGAGACCCCCGACGCATTCGTCTCCACCTGGTGCAGCGGTCATTGTTCTGCTGCCTGTGGGTTTGCCTTGGGAACAAGAAATCCTTTAGTCCACGTACGAGTAAACAGGGGCTAGAATTGAGAAATAAAACACAAAAAGACAAATAGTACCCATCTACAGATTTCCTAGAATTTAATTTTATTCTTAAGATTGATTTTTCACCATGGAAATACAAAAGCCATTAAGGTCATTTGTTTGTTGAAAGAGGTACCGTGGCCCAAGCACATTGACCTTGGCCTGGTGGCGTTGCCCTTGGCCTGGCGGCCTTGCCCTTGGCCTGGTGGCCTTGACCTTGGCCTGGCGGAGGCACAGCGCGTCACTGAAGGAATGCAGTGTCGGGCAAGGACTCAGTTGACTTGACTCGGCAGGTGCCCAGCGTGGAGTGGTCCACCCCCTGCTGCTCACGGGTAGAAACTCAGCTTCAGTGGAACTTTCGTGTTAGAATAAGGCTTTTTTACTTTTCACCGCAGACAAGCAAAACGTTGTCAGCTCTCGGACAAATGGCTGGAGGCGCCGATGGGGGATTTACATAACTGCTGTCTCATTAGCTTTAGGACCCGTGGGGCCGGTGTCGTCCGCGGAATTGAAGATGACACCCTGTGACAGTCATGGGGTCGTGCTGTGATCCTTCTGTGCGGCTCCGTTCTGTCGTCCCACCCGCGGGTCCAGATGACCCTGCGACAGAGCGGTGGGGGTGGGGGGGGCTTCTCTGGAAGCTGGAGGAGTCACCACAGTCTTCGCACTGGGTCTTACTGTTCAAAAAGGATCGGAGAATATCGGTCACCAGCTGGCATGTGACTTAGAGTCCTCGTTGCCCGCGCAACTTAACGCCAACCGCTTTGTTTGTTCTTTCTGGAAACGAAAAAGGTTCCAAATTGTTGCCTTCATCTGGAGCCGGTGCTGATCCGACACGGCTCGCCAGGTGTTAACTCCAGCAGATACAGCGAGGGAGTACACGGAAAATTACACCTGGCTGGCACGTGCTATTTCTAATTACCAGAGTCCAGGCTGTCTTCGCGGAGATGTGAATAGATGACGCTTAGAAGAAAATGAAGCAGAATTTATGGGGATTTGAAATAAGAAAGATAGGTGATCTAACACAAATTGATGAGGCACTTACGAATGAAGATAGAGACACAGTTCCAGAAACGGTTTCCAGAGGTCAGCCCTGCCCTTCGTCACCCGCACGACGTCGGGACACAGAAGATGCACGTCTGTGGTCATGGCGGTGAACTGTCCTGCCCAGCAGTCACTCGCCACAACTGGGTCCTTTCTCTCGAGCTCACAGTGACAGTGATAATGACTGTTCACACTCGCTGGACATTGATACGGGCCAGGTGTCCCCTCAGTCCTTCACTCAAGGTCACGCACGGTGGGGCAGAGTCCAGCCTAAGGCGTCCCCAGCCTCAGAGCTGGCGTTAACAGTTTTCGTGACGTCCTTCTTGTGGTGAGCGAGCTTCCTCATCAGAAAACACTCCACAAGCAACAGCAGCGCCCAAGCCTTCGCCGCGCCCGCTGGGTAAAAGTACCATCCCTGCATCTCTGGGAGATCTGTTGGAGACTTTTCTTTTATACGTAAAGCCCTCAGAAAGGTCAGCGTAGGAGAAGTCACCATCTGCTAATGCGGAAGAAAAGATGATGTCCCTGCAAGTGAAAATAAGTAGGGGCTTTCAGAGAAGCGTCTCCGATGTGCCCTGTCTCCGTCACTGTGGTGGCCGCGTGTGAGCTGCTGTACCTGCTTCTGACGTGCGTGGTTGCGGTCAGACGAACGTGGCCGTGGGGAAGCGTCCTGACTCTCGGGGGCCTGGAAAAAGGCACCACGCAGGGCCGTCACAGGCGGTGCATCCGAACTCACAGTTCGGCCGGAACGGCGGGTGACAGCGCCTCGGTTGCACGTGGGTGTCCCGCATCTGTGCTCGCTGCCCCGCGAGTCCCTGTGGTCAGGGCTGTTCAAGAGATCCCACATTCCCCCTGACTCTGTCCACGGGACCCTTGTGGGGAGTCCTACCCTCGCGGGAAATGTGCAAAGGGAAGGGCAGCCGGAGAGGCGGAAAGGTCATAGACAAGGTCGCGTAGAGCAGGGTGCGACCCCAGTGTTGGTCTGTGCCGAAGCGCTGGAGCAGTGCGTAGGTGAGAACGTTTTTTTCTGTATTTTTAAAAAAATTCCTGGCTGGCGTAGCTCAGTGGATTGAGCGCAGGCTGCGAACCAGGCATCGCAGGTTCGATTCCCAGTCAGGGCACATGCCTGGGTTGCAGGCCATGACCCCCAGCAACCACACATTGATGTTTCTCTCTCTCTCTCTCTCTCTCCCTCCCTTCCCTCTCTAAAAATAAATAAATAAAATCTTTAAAAAAAAGTTAAACTTACCATCACCACATTACCCAACAAATCTGCCACTAAGTATATACTCAAGGAAAAAAAATGAAAGCAGGTGTTAAAACAAACAAACAAAAGTTTAAAATACAACTAGTCCGAAAGCCACTTGCAACGATCTAAGCTCCAAAAAGGAGAAGCGTTTCCCGCGCGGCGTTCCGTGGCGGTGCGCTGCCTGCTCTCCGCGAACGCCGCTTGTTTCCTCACTGGCTTTCCGGTGCACACTGTTACTTACTTAATTCTAGCTCTCCCTTTCTTGCTGGCTGAGGTGGTGAAGGAACTGGAGGGGTGGCAAGCGATCATCAGTTTCTGTTACTGTTTTGGCCTCAGAGAACACTGGAGACCAATTTACATTTGGGGGATGAGTGGCTGCAGATTACTGGGATTGAAACAAATGCATCTGAAGAGAAAGTCTCTGTGCACATGAGAGACGCGGTGCGTCCTCAAGGATGAGAACCCGACTTGTTGGACGAACAAGAACAATATTAAGGATTTTCTCAATGATGGTTTCATTCCCGTAATCCTGTCACATTAATGAAGGGCTCAGGGATTTGTTTTTTCTTTTCTTTTTTCTTTTCTTCTCTTCTCTGCTTTTCTCTTCTCTTCTCCTCTCCTCTCCCTCTCTCCTCTCCTCTCCTCTCCTCTCCTCTCCTCTCTTCTCCTTTCCTTTCCTTTCTTTTCTTCTCTTTTCTTTTTTTGGCATTCAAATTCATTTCTAAGAGAAAAACAGCCTCACAAAACATTTTCAAAGAGTGATGTGCTTGCCTCGGAAACTGTGTGCCGACGGGAACCTTCGGTCTTGAACGCCCTGGATTCGAGGAGACAAGTGCCCTTTCAACCTCTTTACAGCAGGGGCCGACTGAAGTTGTGCCTCCTGTGCTCCTGCGTCGTGGGCCGCTTGCTCAGGGGCCTCCTGTCTGCCCCCCCCCCGCCCCCGCACTGCGCCGTCCAGGTCCTGACCGGTGTTTCTCGCTCTAGCGGCCCCTCTCCGGCCTCGGCTCTGAGCGGCCGGCTCTCCCTGTCACGAGCTGCCGTGCGGGGATGCAGAGGGGCGCCCCCTGTGACGTCAGTGCCGCCCCGGGTCACTCAGCAGCCTGCAGGCGTGGCACCTCAGAGCGGAAGGACCGGGCCGGGGGTTTAAACACCTAGACTCGTGTCTTTGGGGCCTCGGGCAAGTAAGGGACGCCCTCCGCGCCTCGGGCTCCCCACTCGGCAAGTGACTGGTAACGATCACTAGTGTCCTGGGTGTGTCCCAGATGCGGCAGGTGCCACACTGAACACTGTAGCTGCCAGGGGACGGGCCTGTCCTCAAGTCACAGCTCCCCAGGACAGAGTGAACCGGATTCCCAGATCCACCCACTCCAAGGCCGCCCCCCTCTCCTGGGGTGACCCTGACCCTGCTTCTACTGATTTTAATCAAAAAGTACAACTTAAACGATGTAATGTAGACTTTCAAGAGAGAGAAGATGACCTGTTCTAGGGACTCTGTGTCCTGGGTCGGGTCTGCGTGGCCCTCAGGAGCTCGTTCTGTGAGCACTTAGACGACCAAGACGGCAGATGGCACCTAACGGAGTCTGTGGGCACAGGGCACAGCTTTGGATGGTTTGTGCGGCCTCGTCTTTTTCTTTTTTTGCCTTCTGACGTCATCTTAGTGACTAAATTATCATAGTTGGAGCGGGAGACGGTCACTGGCTCTGTTAGAACTGGTTTGTTCATTCCCAGCTTTCCTGGACCCACGATGCTCTCAGGCCAGAGCCGCATTCGCTCCACTTGTTGGGGTGATATCTTTCAGATTTGGGCTTCCAGCTAGAGAATATCTTCAAACGATGATTGCGGTGTAACGGCATTGAAATCAAGTTTGCTGTCAATTCATGTTAATATACAACACCCCCAGAAACTCTTTTATTTTTGTCCTCAAGGTTTTTGGCATTCCTAAATACGCTTTTAGTTTTTTCTTCCCCTAGTCACTTGATACATTGTTTTGAAATGAGCCTAATTGAGTAAAAGAGGCAAAACTTCTACAAAACAACATAGACATAGAACATTGAAAAATCAGTTTAAAAGACATGGGAATTTTGGCTTTCAACAGAGAGGTTATATTTTGCCCTCTGAAGATAATATTAAAAACGAAAGACAGTAGAATGCTTTAATATGTTAGCTTCACACTTGAGTCAGAAAGAGTGTCTGTCTGTGCTTAAAAATGGTCATTACTGTGTTCCCGAGAATTAGAGCAATTTATTATTCTTACAGCAGGCCATTCCTTCTTTCACAACATTGCGGAAAAATGCAGTTTGCTCACGGAAATCCCGTGAATCCTGGTTCCTGATAAATTTGGGTGCGTGGGTTTGTTCTCAGTCACAAGCTCCTGACATTTATTTTCGCGTTTCCCAGGGAGCCCGAGGTCCTACCAGCAGTGGGTGCACACGGTCAAGGTAAGGGGGCCTCTCCCAGTTTCTCCTCCCACTCTGCGGTCGGTGGGCTGTGTTCAGCAAAAGCATGCTGTTCGTTGGCAACGTTTTAAATGTTTGTGTGTTTTCTCACGTGTAGAAATTTTTGTTTCCCGCTTCTAGTTTGTTGGTATTCGTAAATATAATTCTAAAATGGCAAGCTTTTGTCCTGAACTAAGCGGCTTGTCTTGAAAAGTGAGAGCTCACTGCCGCCCCGTATGCTATTCCAAAGCAAGGGATTGGGCGGAACAGAACCGTCTGATGGGAGTTTTATCATGTCTGGCGACCTTTGTGTTAACATGATTTGTTAAACACAGAACTCTCTCGCGCAAATTAGGACATCATTGCCTAACATTAAAACAGTTGATACGCAGTTGCATTTTTTAATGAAGGTTTAAATACACTCTTATTACTGATCACACCGCCCAGGTCTGCCCAGACTGAGCTGAAGTGATTTTTAAAGGACGTATTAGGCTGATTAAAAAAATAGAGTAGAATGTTTACATTTCGTGTGAAACTACCATAGTGTGTAAAAGCTTTAAAAACACGACACAGGAAATAACGTCTGTGGGTCTTTGATGGGCATGAGACTAGAGTTCTCTGTCCACACTGTTAGTGACACCTTGTTCTCGGGGCGGTCTGGCCAGCGCGGGTGCAAACCAGTGTCTGTTCTCCCTTCGCAGAAAGGCGGCGCCCTGTTCAACTCAGCGATGACCAGAGCCACTCCCGCCGTCCGGACGGCGTATAAATTCGTGAGTTTTCACCTGATGTTTAAAAAGTCTGTGATAAAATGTTACTACATTTTCCTATTTTTCTTTTCGAGACAGTTCGTGGGGCTAGTGTTAGGGTTAGGTTTGTGAAGATGTCTTTAACTTTCACAGTGAAAGAGCACCTGGCTGCCGTGGGAAGAATCAAACTCACGCCGAATCACGTTGCTCAGGTTTTTATTCGAGATTCTGAGAAAGGCCACACAGCCAGGCGCCCTTTGTTGCATTCCTTGACCAGACACCCGAAGCTCTTCTTCGCGCCGAGAGAAGTTCTACTGTATTATTTTGCTAGATACATGTTTTCCTCCTTGCTTTCCCTCACACCTTCCATGCGAGCACAGAGATGAAACCTCATTTGGCATCAAACTGCCATCCCTCCCCTGAGGGGGGAGTTTCACTCTGAACAGTAGAAACGGGGACCGACCGGGCCCCCACGGACAACTGTTCCCTCTGCTCCCCGCGCGTGTTTCCTGTGCCCACGGGGACCACACGGCGACGCGGAGCCGAGGCACCTGCTCGCTCTCAGCTCCGGCAGCGACGGCAGAGCCAACAACACACGCTCGATTTGGCCGGCAGAGCTTCCGAGTCACCTTCTTTGTGGAGTCTGTGCATTTCACATGATCAGCCAAACCCGCGTGGCAGGCGCTTTGGGTAGAGAACACCCACGTGACGGTGAGCGTCCGCTGGGCACAGCGAACAGGGCGGAGGGACCCGAGCCCGTCTCCCAGGGAGTCCGGAGGAGGCCCGGGCAGGCAGCGAGGCGGCAGGCGTCCCAGAGAGCCGGCACCGGAGCTAACAGAACCACCGCTGATACGCACGGTTCAGCTCTGCGCACTGCGGAGCGTCGGGAAGAATCGGCGTGAATCAGGTGGATGTCGAAAGAACAGAGGACATTTACGTAAACTAGAACATAGTCCAAAGGGGTAGAACTTCAAGGAGATGGGAAAGGAATGTATATATTTTTTGGCGATTACTCACTTTTACCTAAACAAGTGTGCAGGGATTAACACAGGGCCCTTGAAGTAGATTCGGTGGCCTGACCAATAAGAGAGTGAACGTGAAAGTGCTTTCCCGACTCCAAAGAACTGTGGAGTTGCTATTTGGGGTTACCCGGCCGTGAGGCCGGCTCTGGCCGTGTGCGACATGTCTTCATTTTGCCCCGTGTGCAGCGAAGAAGTAGTTGTTCTGCTCCGTTGAAGACATTTCCCCAGCCGTGACCGCCGGCCCGGCTCTCGGCTGGGCTCGCAGGTATTGACAGTGCTGGAAAGGGAAAGACAGCAGAGCAAAGTCAAAAGTCGAGTTGAAGTTTTTCAAAAACAACCCGTGCATCGGGCGGCCCCCCATCTGGCCAATAGAAAGATCTCTGGGAAGCTGTGCAGAACGGAGGGAGTTCGTGGACGGAAGGGGACAGGGAGGCGGACACAGCAGACGACCTCCTGTGTCTTCACGGGGGGACGGCCCGGTCCCCTCATTGCCGCCCACCAGGAAGTCCCGGGCCAGCCGGCTTGAGACAGCATTCCTGGAAGAGGCTGGGCCTGCAGTCGGGTGGCGGGGGACGTCCTGTCGGTGACAAGTGCCTCCATTTCCGGCCTGGCATCCCCTTTATTAGCAACCGGGAAGAAGTCGGGCCCCCCCTCACGGAGCTCGGGGAGACGTGTGTTCACTCTTCCGGGCAGGGACCCGGGAAGGTGGGGCGCCTTGGGGTTGGAAGTCTCTCGTCTGCCCGACCCGAGGTTCCAGGCCTCTAGAGTGAGACTCTAGAATGAAAATAAGACTCTTCCTCGGTGAGGCCGAGATCCCGAGAACGTGCTTTTGAAAGCCGTCATTCGCCCTTGTCCTTGGAGAGGGGAAGAAGATGGAGTTAGGATTTCCCTCAACCGGGTTTGAGTCCCTGTTTGCAGATGCGATAATCACTGTACCAACCTCACAGACGGGGCTGCCAGGACAGTGTAATGCGATGACGCAGGCTGGCCCCCAGCACCCGGTCCGGTCCTGCGGAAGCAGGAAACGAGCACCGATTTCTGGCTGCTGTCACTCTGGCTGCTGCGCCGGACTTTCTAGCGGAACAAAGTCCGAGGCCCTTACGACGACCCCGTGGTCTTCCGCCGCACCTGCGGGGACCACGGCGGGACCTGCCGGACTCCACGCCGCGGCCAGACGCCCTGCGGAGGAACCCCAGGGCGGTCGCTGAATTGTTAAAGCCGTTTCACTTTTGCCAGAAAACTTGCACATGGCCCAAGCTGAGCATTAAGACAGCTCTGCGGACAGAAACTGTGGTTCATCAAGCCCAGGCAGGTGCCCAGTCGGCTGCCGCTGCGATGCGCCTTTCCTGCTTCCCCACCGTTGAGACACCATTGCAGGGGAAGGCTGCGCTAGTCACCTGGCCTAGTAATTTATACAGTGTTTATATAATTAGTAATTTACACAGTGTAGGCAGCAGCACGGGCTCCGCGTTCGCCCGTGTGTGGCGTGGGTGTGCCAGCGGAGGCAGTGCTTTCGCCAGCTCCTGTAGGGGTAACAGGTCGGGGGTGCGGAGTCCCCGAGAGTACAGTTCCCGGCGCAATCCGCTCTTTCCCTGGGGAGCGGGAACAGCTGACGGTTCTCCTCCAGCGAGGCCCGTGTCCGCGCCGGGTCGGCGGCGAGAGCAGCACCCTGGGCCCGACGCTGTGTTCTCTGCTCCGCAGGCGAAAAGCCAGGCGAAGCAGGGCATCCGGGAGGTGAAGAGCAAGCTGAAGCACAAGGTAAGGCGTGGCGTGCCCCGCCCTCCGCGCCCCGCCCCTCTGCGCCCCGCCCCACCCCGCCCTCCGCGCCCCGCCCCTCTCTGCGCCCCGCCCCGCCCCTCTGCGCCCCGCCCCTCTGCGCCCCGCCCCACCCCCGCCCTCCGCGCCCCGCCCCCACCCCGCCCTCCGCGCCCCGCCCCTCTGCACCCCCGCCCCGCCCCTCTGCGCCCCCCCTCTGCGCTCCACCCACCCCGCCCCTCTGCGCCCCGCCCCTCCGTGCCCCGCCCCGCTCAGCCCCGCCCCACTGGTCGGTGTTGTGCTCAGGTGGGTGGGTGGGGGGCATGCACTTGGGAGACCCCGGGAGAGGGGCGTTTCAGTGCCTCCGGGAGGGGGCGTCGGCCTGTGTCCAGGAATGTGTTTCCCACGCCAAGCCCCTGCACCACGCTCGCCCGTTCCGGGCGCGCCCCCCGGACACTCTCGCATTCGCTAAGTTCGTCGCAGAGCGACCGGGACCCTCCACGGGGCTTTAACAGGGGGCAGTTCCCACCAGGCCCACCGCCGTGGCGTCACTGTCGGACGCCCTGCTTCCGGCGGATGCTTTTTTTTTAAAAAAAAAATGATTTTCAGTGCAGAATTAAGCCATGCACACCATCATTTGGTTGTATAGGGCCTTTCCAATAGCAGCTGCTTTAAGCATGTTCTTACTTATTTTTTTTAATCCTCACCTGAGGACATGCTTATTGATTTGAGAGAGAGGAAGGGAGGGAGGGAGAGAGGGGGAGAGAAATCAATGTGAGACCAAAGCATCGATCAGCTGCCTCTCACTGGGCACCAGACCTGCAACCCAGGCACCAAGGCGTGTGCCCTGACCGGGAATCGAACCCTCGACCTTCCAGCTACGGCAGGACACGCCAGCCAACCGAGCCGCCCTGGCCAGGGTTAAACTAAGCAGGTTCTCATGTATAAACATTTGTGCTTGGGGCCATGTATTTGAATCTATGAATATTGCATGTGTATGAATATTTATGTGTGTGATTTGATTACATCACGTCTTGGCAAATTTTATCAGTTGTTTTGAAATTTTACCTCTGGAGAAAAAAAAATACTACTTGAACACTTCCATTGTAGTGGTAGAGAGTGAGTGATCTTCATAGGAATTTTACTTACATTATTCAAAATAGAGATTGTTTCGGAAATTACGAATTCATAACACAGAAAAACGTGGGAAAGCATTTTCTTCTAAACAGGTCCCTCAAGCGTCCGCCTGACGTGCTATTATTTGGTTATTTCCACCCGAACCGGCCGCTGCGCTGGTTGGTTAGAGAACCCCAGCGACCGTCCGAGCAGGGCTTTAAGCGAGTGCTCGTGTGTCCCCCAGGAAAGCGAGGACGGCTCCGGGACCGGCTCCGGCAGCATGCAGCACACGCCGGTGTACATCCCACATGGCGGCGAGAAGGCAGCGCACCCGGAGAAGCGCAGGCTCACCCAGGTAAAGCCCCGCCCCCACCCCCGCGGCTCCGGCCCTGAACGCCCGTCCTCCCCGGGGGCTCTCCCGGAACCGGCAGGCCCCGTCGCTGTCCTCCCGCGTTACACGCAGGCCTGCAGTCGCGGTGGAGGCGATGAGTGGGTCTCCGCTGGGCAGCCCGCAGGGCCGGGGACCAGGCGTCCCGGCAGCAGGTCCCCGGGGCTCCTGACATCCTCACAGGGCCCACGGTCCCGTTGGGGGGGGCGGCTCACCGCGGGGTCGCCCACAGGGATAAAGGGCGACTTGCAAACACAGGGGACTTCGACTGTTAGCATAATCTGTAGAAACTGGAGTACGAAGTTATAAATACCTGTCTTGTGCCCAAGATAGACATTTTACTTGCTATGAATGAATATTTAAAAACTCTGTGTGTGTGCTGATGCTTCTTAAAATACTGTCCTGAAGCAGGGAAGCGCTCACGTGTCCGACTGGGCATCGTGAGGGCATGTTTGAAGCTTGCGTTTACCGTGGGGAGTAGATTTTTACGGGAAGAAAAGTGTCCTCTTGCACCGGTCACTCCCAGTGTAAAAAGACTAAGGCCTGAACACATTAAGATGTTTAATGAAACACGTAAGCATTTCTGGGGATGGCTAGATGTGGTTAACGGCAGAATCTAGATGTCAGTAAGCACCTCGGAGACGTTAAGGTTTGTATGTTCATTTATGGCCTCCCTTTTTTTTTTCCCAGAATAGGCACCTTATAAAGAATCATAGAAGAAAAGGTTAAAATTCACTTCATTTAGGTCGAGGCAGGGAGGAAATGAGGGTAGGAAGACGCTAAGGCCCGTTCCCCTGACTCGTGGCCACAAAGGAGAGGGGAGCCCACTCCGATGAATCCTAAGGCACAAGACTTCTTTAGAAAGAGAGGTTCGGCAGTTGCACACGCGCTGGGGGCCCTGCCGGGGGTGGGGGGTACCTGGTAGGAGTGGGGTCACTCTCTGGGATCGAGAGGTCGCCTCTCTTCACGTGGTCTTTTCTCCACTGTCTGCGCCGCCTCTCCGGGCTTCCTCTCCTGGCTGCAGTCTGTGCTTTCACGCGGCACTCGAACTGCTGTTGAAACATGTAGAAGGCTGCCAGCCACACTGCCTGCGACTCCGCTCTTCCTTCTGGGAGGCTCGCTGAGCTCCGGTGGCTTCAGGGCCTCACAGTAGCGCCGGCTGCCGGGGGTTGGGTGGTGGGGGGACCGCACTGGGCCCCACCTTCCGCTGGGCTATCCCAGTGACTGGATTCCCCGAAAAGACCGGCCACGTGGTCCCGTCTGTTCCCGGAAGGCGAGATTCCGTAGGGACCTGCCGGCTTCGGTAATCCAGATGATTTTTGATGTTGTCGCCACTACTTGGCACGCCTGCTTCTGCAGGGTTGGAATAAGGCCCGAGGTCACGGGAGCAGCCTCGGGACGCAGGAGTGGGGGCCGCTCCTGGAGGAACGGGGAAGCTGTGGGGGTGGTGTGTGTGCATTTCATGATCAATTTAGAGTCTGCAGCCGTCCGCCAGTGCGGGCACCCTCGTCCCCACTGGGCCGACTTCTCGACGGGGAAGCGGAGGGGCTCGGACCTGCGCCTGCCTCCCTGCGGGTCATTAACGGGCAGTGGGGTTTGGACGGAGGGCGGACTCTCTGCTCTCTGCCCTTGGCCTTGGGGGCGGCCGGGAGGGGCAGTTAGAGACAAGGGTGTGCAGTTCACAGCCAGACCGACCGGGCTGTGACAAAGGTCATGGCATCGGGCACTGAGCATGCCCAGCACCCCGAGCCTCCCCTTCGGCCCGTGTGAGCTGGGGTAACGATGCTGGCGTCGCTCCCGGGAGGCGGCAGGTAGACCAGCGATGCACGAGCTCTCGAAGTGCCTGCCACACCCCGGCCGCTCACGCCGGCAGCTCTCCCTGCACACGCAGACGCACGCCACACGCCTCAGGCTTGCAGAGCCACGCAGCGCCTGGCTGCTTCTCTCTTGGCAGGTACCTCCCGGCTCACGGCAATCCTCTGGTCCCCAAAACAACGGGGACTCCAATGTTGTCTGTTTCCATTGAAGCAGGAGTGACTTTAAGATCCCAGCGCATGGTTTGAAAAGGAATATACAGCTCTCATCCCGAGAAATGTCTGGGTTTGTGAGACCCCGAGCATGTCACTTTATTGTCAGAAAAACTACCGAAATGCAGAGCGTGGATGTGACTCCCCCCATGTGCCTGTCCACGGGACAACTTGAGCTCAGCAACCTTAAGAGCTTTACGTGTTCTGTTTCCAGCCAGCCTCATGCAAATGCCATGCTTTACTTTCGTCTGTTTTGCAAAAGAAGTAAATGAGACTATGGTCCTTTACATGCCAGGAATGCGTCCGAGAGTGAGAAACACAAGTTTCCCAGCCTGAGTCCAATCTGCCGAAAAGACCGGATCTCAAAATCGCGCGTGGCTGGCGGGCTGTGCTCCACGGCTGAGCTTCTCTTTGGAATTGACAGTGCATCTCTGCCCACCAGCAAACAGTAGTAACGGGTGTGTCGGCCCGCTAATTAGTACGGCCATTTCCCGTTCTGCGGATGAGGCTTAAGTAAATGTCAGGGGTACAGCCAGAAGAGCGCCCAATTAGGCTTCCCGTGTGTACATCCGGGCCCCCTCCCTCTTTGTGGGAGAGGCAGCGGCAGCCGCCGGGCAGCCTAACAGGGCCCCGGGGAGCGCAGCCCGGGAGGCGCCGGGAACAGGGCCGGGGTCTGGGGAGAACCCAGGCTGCAGAGCGGCCCCCGCCTCGCCCGGACACTCACGCACCGTCTCTCTCCCTCCCGTTTTCTGTCCGAACAAACCACGGCCAGCTCTGTGAGCAGTGTTCAGACTGAGTCTGTCCTCTGCAGTGGGGTTTTGAGTGATTCGCTGGGAGAGATTGAGTGGCCTTCCGTAAGGATGCGAAGTCCCCTTAAATAACAGGTCAGGTGTCCCCGAGTCTGAAGATACCGCTCCATTTCTCATCGCGTCGGCCGCCGTCATTCTGATAACAATGTGCGTGCGTCTGCTTCCCGCACACACATCACACACACACAGCAGCCAGACCGGGGAGCTGCCGCAGCCCGGCCGGCCCCCACGGCAACACTAACAGATGGACGGCCCTAAGCAGCACAACACCGCGCCGATCTCTCGGCGGCGCGGGGCGGGCGAGAGCGCTTTGTTGTGGAGTCCGAGTGAAACCCTGGCACACAGCCCCCTTAACTCTTTCACGTCTGGGCTGGGCGCACTCCACTCAGATTTATTTTCCACGCATCCAGGTCAGATTGTGCCAAAGCTGCCTGGAAAATATGAATGAAAAGAGTATTTTTTTCCACACTTGGGAGACAGAAGTCAAGCCTTTCCCCCAACCACAGTGTTCACGAATAGGAATATGTTTAATCGTCATGTTTCCTGCTAGTGACACCAAGTACCATTAAACTCACGGCCATTTATTCTATTTTTAAGTGTATTCACATAGAGACTAATAGCTCGAGATGGGAATAGTTATCTCTGAATGCATAAACAGGGAGGATGTGCGCACCCTATGAAATATCACCCCCACGGTGTTTCGTTTTTTACCCATTATACCAGGCGATGGGTGCACTTCAAAGGAACCTTTGCTATCTCGTTGAGCCCCGTGCATTTATTGGTTTATAAATCATGCTAATGGATTGGTGGAACACAGCACAACAGCAGCAAGCTCGTTTTATAATTGATGAGTAACGTAACTTCATCCCGAAAGAATGCACTTAGAAGGTAGGTATCCTTTCTGGCCCGTGAAGACTTGCAAGTGAGGCATCTCAGAGCCACCTTCTGGTCTCACGGAGACCGGCAGAAACCCCTGTGTCACTATGAGCATGCTTTTAAAAATATAAGCCCTCACATGATGAGCTTCGTGTTTTAAAACGCTCCGGAGGAGATGAACTTTCTGGGAAACGAATGAGAAGAGACAAAAACGTGGACTCTCTCAGCGATCCCGCTCCAAAGCCTAGCACGCGGGGCCGTGGCCGGCGCTGGGTCTTTGCCGCGCACTTACTTTCCTTCGAGGGCGGTCAGCGGACTCCGGGAAGGAAACGGCTGTGATCCAAGATGGTGTTTCCTGCTCCGGCGACACCAGGGCCTTCAGGGAGCGGCCCACTTGGGCTCTTTGGGCCAACACGGTCCGTTGTACGGCGGCTTTGCGGGATTGGTCGAGAAGGAGATGGCGCAGTGATGGGGCGGCGGAGGGAAGCAGCCAGCCGCTCCTTGGGACGCAGAGAAAGGGACCGCGAATCTCCGGGAGCAAGCGCGAGGTGAGGGGGGGGGGCTGTGCACGGAGGCGGCGGCCCGGGTAGCTGGGAAGATGACTTCGGGTAGCTCGTGCAAAGTGATACAAACCAGTTTCACCCAAATCATCATAAGCAAACAAGCCCATTTTAAATTTTTTTTAGCGCTCTATTTAATTTGACTCAGAATGGGGAATACTATTATGGTCAAGCCAAAATGTTGAATTAAAGTGGGAAGGACATCTATTGGAAAGTTATACGTGATGGATGTTGCTCAACGTCTTAAGTGAATATGTTTCCACTTACAGATGCCCACAAAAACGCTGCCTGAGTGGAAACACACTTTCTCAGTCTCTGCCCGAATTTCGCTCTTCCCCGTGGTAGATACAGATTTAGTCTAATTTACACTAATGCCACTAATCTTTAAAATTCACCTTTTAAGCCCAGTTTCAAAACTATGGGTGCCATACTGATAACTTTGAAGGAAGTTATTTTTTTCTTTTTCTTTTGTTGAAATAATATTAATTTCCAACATGCCAAATACGGTTATAGTTCAGCCTGTGCGCCTCACCCCCTTCCCCCCAAATTCAGTTCCGGAGTACAAGGGCGCCCTCTAGCGGACACTGCACCCTACTTCTGCCTTTGAAAGGAGATCGCTACGCAAGACAAAATTCATAATGGTAGCGTTTACCTTTCAGGCCCGCCTTTTCCAGAAACACAATGGCGTGCACATCGAGTCACGAAATTGTCCGAGGACATTATTCTTTCAGAGGAAGAACCCAGAACCAACTCCTTTCCGTCGGTGGCCGGGACTTCCATTCTGAAGTGTTTAGCTCAGCTGAATAGCGTTCGCCGTATCAAAAAGATGTAACGGGAGACAATCTTACTTATGGGGACGTGTTCAGTGTACGTTAGGAGATGTTTTTAGGTTGAAATGTGCCTTTTCAGGGTTACGGTTTTACTCTTCAAATTCATTACCACAAATGGCTGTGTCAATTATTACAAAGCCTTGAAACAAAAACAGGCACTCTGTGTTTCCATTTAGCGAATATAATGGATGTTACCATTCCAGACTTTACATCCGCAGTCCCGTCACTACGGCTTGTCCACGCTATTTTCTGTTTTGTTTCACCTCGGGAGACTTTCCCCCCATCCCCGTTATCTCTTTAATTATTTTAGGGGCTCAGGGTGACATGGCAAACAGGTCTCTGTCCCAGTGTTTACGGACAAATTCTCATTCTTCTCCCAGACATCCTGGGGTATCGAAATGATGGTCTGCCTTCATGCTTTGTGCACGGAGCAGCTTTTAAGGTCGGTCAGAGAGCAGTGTTGCTGCGGATGAAAGGAAAAGCCCGTCTTTTCTTTGTAAAGTCGTCGCTGCCGCCGCCGCTGCCGCCGCCGCTCGGTCCCTGAAGACAGAGAAATTGCCAGGAGGATCAATAGACCCACAGCTGCCAGCACGTCCAGAGTCTCATTGCAGCTGGAGCTGGACCCGGGTGTCCTGCGCGTCGCCGCCGCGCCCGGCGCAGAGCAGAAGGATTAGAATAGCGTGTAAAGACTTTGAGTGAGCCTGTGCCCCTGCACCAATTTACGTTGTTTATTTTTTTAAATATATTTTATTGATTCTGCTATTACAGTTGTCCCGTTTCCCCCCTTCATCCCCTCCACCCTGCACACCCTCTCCCACCCGCATTCCCCCCCTTTAGGTCATGTCCATGTGTCATAAGTCCTTTAGCTTCCACATTTCCCATACCATTCTTGCCCTCCCCCTGTCTATTTTCTCCCTGCCATCTATGCTACTTATTCTCTGTACCTTTTCCCTCTCTTCTCCTCCCACTCCCCTGTTGCTACCCCTCCATGTGATCTCCATTTCTGTGGTTCTGTTCCTGTTCTAGTTGTTTGCTTAGGTTCTTTTGGTTTTGTTTTAGGTGTGGTTGTTAATAATTGTGACATCGTTTATTTTTTAACATTTAAGTGAAACACTGGTCTTTCCTCGCAAGTCTGTTTCCTCATTGCCTTTAGGAATGGCCTTGACATTGGTAAGATAACGCTTTTGAAACCAACATGCGATTGCACTTTCTGTGAAGGTTCTTGCTGTGTTCCCTGCAGATGCTATTCAAGCCTCTCTCACACACACTCACATTTATGGTTATTATACGGGGTCTGGCACAAATAACGCCTCTCTCTTATTACATAAAATCTTTAATTGCAAAATCACCAGCGTGTAATTCTGTATCAGAACAATATCACACTCGGGCACACCACGTGACATCGTAGGTGAAACCTTCAAACTGCTGTCCATCCCGTGCGAGACATTCACGTGCCACACTCAGCATTGTTACTTCTGCCGGACCCTGGGCGTATGGATGGGGTCATCGGAAGAATGGAATCTAGCCGTAATTATTTTCCACAGTCGATATTTGGCTCGTTAGTCATGCGCCCGTGGCAAACGTCGTGGGACCTGACTCTGCCTGTCAGTGCCGACTCTCTGTGGAGGGGCTGGTCCCCGCGGAATGCAGCTCCCTCCCGGCTGGAGAGGAGCCGCGGCCGCCTTTCTGAGATTACTGAGTCCTTTATCATCGCTGGGAAGGGAGTTGGCATTCTTCCTCGGCTTTTTGCATTCTAAATGGAAGTGGAGTTAGGAGCAAAGTGGATTAAAAGATAGGGTTCTCGGGCTCAAGGCCGTGCTAAGACAGGAATGTTCTGAAGAGGAAGCCCTGCCCTTCTCGGTGGCCGCGGGCAGCAGGGGTGCCCCGAGCGGCCGGGAGTGAAGTCGGGAATGCTCAGGAGGGGGGCGAGACCCGACGGCCTGGGGGACGTGGGCCGAGGGTCCTTGGATGGTTCTGGACCACTGCAGACTCATCTGACACTTAGCTTCAGATTGCTTCCAGTGGCTCTGACCCAACACCAGTCTTTCAGTCTTTGGAGACCAGTACCCACCTCTTGTCTCTTCGCCCCGCTGTTCGCCCTCACTGTCTGTCACTCCGGACCATTCTGTGACGACCGCCTGCTCTAAACACGAGGCTAAAGCTCGCCACTGCGAGAAAGCCTTTCTCAGGTCAGTGCTCAGACATCTGGGGACTTGTTTATCTGATGCGATTACAGTGACACGCATTCCTGACAGCTGGGTTCGAGTCCCCGCCCTGGGAGAACCGTCCGGTCTGGCCCGGGACGCTTTTCTTCATTAACCTTTCGGTTCCCTGCTTTGTAAAACGCAGACATGTTCACCAAAATTTGTCGTCGAGTAGCTATTTCAGGAAGTAAAGCCAATAAAACGTCTGGCCCACGGGCTGCAATCAGTGACTCCTGGGTGGGTCCCCCGACTCTGAGCTCCGGTCCCGCCGACGAAAATGATGCCATGCTTTTAAAGGTCTTTCCGGATCTCGGACCGCAGGCATTTTTGAGGCATCGTCATTATGATTCTGCATAGCAGAGTTTTTAAATCTATCCTTGTATCATTTCATGCAAATACTTTTTTTTTTTTGTACTAGCCTCAAAAAGGCGCACGCCCGGGGGTTTGCTTTAGACTTTGGGTCAAGTCACACGGGGGGCCCCTCAGTTACTCCAACTCTGAAGGGGGGGCAGTAGCGCGGGGGGGGCCGCTTTCAAAAAGTTATACGAGCATCTTCATCTTATGCAGTCTAAAAACTATGCTTGCCCATCCCTCTGCCTGGATCCTGTATTTCCCCCACCCCCAGCCCCCTTAGGAATTGAAAGCTGCCCAGCGGTTGGCCTTACTAGGGTGTGTGTGTGCCATCTAGTGACCGAAACGGGAACTGCGGGCGGAGCGGGCTCCTTTGGGGGCTCAAGTCTCACCGGCCACTGTCTCATCCCGTGAAGAGGAAGGAAACAGCTAACGTATCATAGCTAAGTCAGACGCTGAGTTTGACGGTTCTGTGGCTCGGGCCTTCTGCCCATATTAAAGAGTAACTTTATATGAAGGGGCAGAATGATAACTTCCTTATTTTACTTGGCTCATTCGCCAATGCAAGAATCAGCAAGATATAAAATACGGGCACTTGGGGGATGAGGGGTATAGAAATGCACATGCCGACAGGCGCCCAGACCATCGGTCAGTCCCACGGGCGCCCCGAAGACGGTGCTGCCGTCTGTTAAGGTTCCCTCAATACCGGGGGTCGCGAGGAACGCTGCTACGTACACTCCTGCGCCCCGTGGCCGGACGCTGTAGGAGGCTGGCTGTCATTACACAGGCAGTGTGGTTGGCGGCACAGGAAACAGCAGCCTTTCGCCGCCCTTTTGGTAAACCTCTTCGTGAACGTCCGTGGGAAAAGCCACGCACATCTCGAGTCACGGAAGTGAGAAGAGCTCCAGGAGCAGCAGGAGGCGGGCACAGAGTCGGGGGGGAGGGGAGCAGACGTCCCTGGGGCATCCACTCAGTTTCCAGGCATGTGGGTGGGGTCACGGCCCTTAATGGAACTCTGGAAAAATATTTACAGGTTTCGTTTTGTTTTGTTTTGTTTTGTTTTCTTGGAAAACCACTTTTTTTTCTTTGTCTCGGGTTTTTTTTCCCCCAGCTCATTGTCTGCTTGTAGCCCTATCTCTCCACCTGTTTCAGAGTCACCCTTCTAAGAAAAGCATCTGTCCCCAAACTTGGGCCTATGGCACCCACCCTGGTGCCTCTTCCAGGCAGCGGTCGTCTGTCACTCATGACAGGCGGGTGACGGGCGGGGGACGAACGGACGCGTGTACTGACTCTCGGAAACTTCTGGGCGTGCACTCAGCGCGCTGAGATTCCTGTCCGGACCTGAAGTGCAGCCTGTTTTTCCTGAACACACACAGCGCATGCACGGACCCCGCCCTGCTCATTAGCGTCACGCTGGGGCAGACGAGAGGGTCCACGGCCCTCCCCAGAATCGTCCATACCGGTGTCCGTATTCCTGTCTGTGTTGCGTGCGCTGAGGTGACTCCTCTCTTCGGCGGTCGTTTTCAGTTCAGCCTCTGCCTCGTGTGGCCGCAGGCTCCCGGTCACGCGGGGCCTGGGCCCTGCGACGCCCGGTGGAGAGGTGCTGGGAGGGACTCTGTGTCCCCACCCCGAAGGACACACACACGTCGTCTGTGGTCTGAGCTGACGTGCTAGCCACTGCCCAGAGACGCTTCTTTTTCCAGAAGGGTGACCAGGTCTGTTCGCCCCGAGTCGCATGTTCTGGGCGAGGTGGGAGCCACCCCTCATTTCCCCGGAGAGCCGTGCGCCTGGGTCCCGGGGCCCCCCGAGACGGACCATAGCGCTGTCGGGGTCACGCAAGCCGGGGGTGCTGTCGTTACACAAGCTGCCACTTCTCTCTGTCTCTCGGAGGTCGGTCACATCGACTGTAGGTCCCGCATCCCTAAGCCAGGGCCTGGGCGCTTGTGTGCGTGCAGGTTCGTCCAGCCCAGCGGAGTGTTTCCGGCTCATTACTCTGAGGTCGAATGCATGCTGAGACCAGCCACCCCCATTCCCTCCCTCCTTCCTGCCCAGCGTGTCAGGTTGCTGGGAAACATTCAGCCCCCCCCCCCCCCCCAACGCGGACTGCTCCTAAAAGTCTTCCCGGTCAACTCAAACGGCCCCCGCAGACGTTGGGAAAGAGACTGACGTCACTACGAACAACGATCCGTTGTCCTTCCTCCCCCAGACACGCGTGCGGAGGCCCCGGAAGAGCCTCGACGGCCCCGTGTTTGACGACGCGGACGCAGATGCAGACTCAGACCGCACCAGCAAGTCAGTACTGGGCCCCGGGGTCCTCCCGGGCGGGGCGGGGCGGCCTCCTGCAGGCCGGGTGGGAGGCAGAGGGCGGTCCAGCGCGTGCCCTGCCCGATCGGATTCCGCCGGTACCCGCCTTCGCCACGAGGGTCCGTGCTCCTGGCGGCGAATCTTGAGACGGGGCAGCACGCGGGACCTGACCTCTCTGGTCCTTGGGCAGCTGTCGGAACCGCAGAGCGTCTGAGACGCGGTGAAAGGGGAGTAGACCCGCCCCCCAAGTCAGAACCCTGCCCTCCCCGGAGGGGCGGGTGCAGTCTCAGGCACCGCGGGTGCACTGGCCATCCTGACCGACGAGGCCAGGTGCGGAGAGACCGAGGTCTCCAGTGCTGTGAGACAGCGGAAGCGTAATGCAGAGTGTTACAACAGGGGGAATTTTATTAGAAAGCAGGGGAATTAGTAACAGTGTATGTAACTTCTTAATTTTAAGGTACATGGTGATGGCAGACAGACGTTGTTTTTCTTTATTCAGTATATCTCTGAATACGGAAGGGCTGTGCGTTGTTCTCGAAGCCAGGCGAATCAGTAAAGGCAAGGAGGACCATACGAACACCTTGGAAGTGACCCTGAGCGTAGCGAGTGTTCCGAGGGCTCGGTCTCCTGGACCTGAGGCTAACGTCCCAGATCCCACGTCCCAGACCCCACGTCCCAGATCCCACAGGATCTGGCTGCCTGGAGGCCCCGCCTCTGCTTCCCCACGGATTCAGGCGCTGTGCGTGGACTTAGCGCCTGCTTGCGCGCAAAGCAGACAGGCGCCGTTTCCCGCAGTGAGCGGGAGGGACTGGGCCTCGCGCGACCCCGTCACCCTCTCCGTGCGGCTCCACGGAAATAGCGCTTCCACGGGAGCGGGGAGCGCTGCGCTGCGCGCGCGCGGCAGGTGCCATGGCGCGGCCCCCAGCGCGCATCTCGTGTCCCTCAGGCTGTCGTCCGAGGACGGCGAGGAAGCGCCCGCGGACTTCTACGAGAGCGACGACTCGGCGGAGACGGGCGTGCGCACGGCCTGCTCGGGGGAGATGGACCTGCTGGGGGAGATCCTGGACACGCTGAGCACGCACAGCTCCGACCAGGGGAAGCTGGCGGCCGCCAGGAGCCTGGACTTCTTCCGGTCCATGGACAACCTCGACTACAAGGCCGCGGTGAGTGCGCCCCCGCCGGCGGGCGGCGGGAACGCGCGCTTCCCCCGCTGCGGTCGCCTGACTCCCCCAGCACCCAGCACCCGGCCGGTTCTCTTAGTTTGTGGGAGTGTGTAACCGCTAACGGGAAGGTGCCAAGACTTCAGAACTATGCTAAAATTTAATCACTAGGAAGTATTTCTCATAACAAAATTCCGGGGCTTCCCCCTTCTATGTACCCGGTTCTGCTAGTGACGGTCGTTAGTTGGAATTTTTTTTTACCAAGCAGGAACCTTTCCTGACCATCTGATTCTAGAGGTGTCTTCTCCGCGGAATTTTTTAGACGTGGAATGGCCCCACTTTCCCCTCGATATCTCCTTGATCTTAAAAAATTTTTTTGTAAGGCGCCAGCGCAAGCAATTTTGTATTGTATTGCTTCAAAAGTTGTCGGCAATCCCGAACCGAGTGCTTCAAAAGCAGTGCAGGTGGAAATGTGATGGTCGGGAACTCCAGAGTTCCGTGTGGATTAGTACTCTAGTTGCCTGTGTGTGTTTTGTGGGCTTTTTTTTTTTTGGCAAATCCTTTTCGTTTTACTTTATTTCTAGCTTTATTGAAGAATAATTCACAAATGGTATTTACCAGAGGCATTTTACCTTGCGGCGGCCACAGTCAAGCTAATTAGCATGTCAGTCACCTAACATAGTTACCATTTCCTTTTCCTTTTTTTTTTCTTTTTTTGGAGGCCAGAGCAGTTCAGATTCACCCTGTTAGTGAATTCCAAGTGAGGTGGCGGTAACCGTAGCCACCACTGCCAGGTCTCCGGAAGTGGTTCCCGTGCGTGACTGACACTCGCTGCCCGTGGGCCGGCATCTCCCCATTTCTCCTGCACGCCGGTCCCCCCGCCCCCGCCCCTCGCCCCGGCAGCCACCATGTCACCCCCTGCTCCCAGGAGTCTCCCTTATTCCACGTGCGAGTCAGCCCCTGCAGCCCTGGGTGTGCGCGTCTGGCTTCTGGCACTTACTCCAGGTTTATCCGCCTTGTCGCCAAGGGCAGAGCTTTCCTCTTTTTACGGCTGAGTGATAGTCCATCGGGTGTCTGTGACACCCTTTCTTTGTCTGCTCGCGCACTGGGGACACGTAGGCCGCCTCTGTGGCCGCGCTCTCGAGAATCTGCCGCTGCACCTTCAAGGTGGCGGATCTGTTTCCTTCGGATCCACACCCAGAGGTGCAGGCCCTGCTGCGAACCAAAGCATCGCAGGTTCGATTCCCAGTCGGGGCACATGCCTGGGTTGCAGGCCACGGCCCCCAGCAACCACACATTGATGTTTCTCTCTCTCTCTCTTTCTCTCCCTCCCTTCCCTCTCTGAAAGTAAATAAATAAAATTAAAAAAAAAGAAGTGCAGTCTCTGCCTCCAAAGGCAGTCCCGTGTCGTGTTTCGAGGACCCCCCCCCCCGCACTGAGCCCCACTGTGGCTTCCCAAGCACCCCGCCACCCACGGGGCAGCAGGCTCCCTTGCAGCACGGCCCGCCCCCACTCTCGGGGTGGCCGGCCTGTCACAGGGGACCGTCGCAAGGGCGAGGGAGCCACATGGTCACATCTCATCCCTGGTCAGGAATCCACCCTCAGCTCTGTGTCCGCCCTGGAAGGAACTTCCCGTCCTGGCCTTGAAGAGGTTAATACTGATTTCAAGATGGGAAAAAAGTAATTGCTAAAGTAATGCTACAGTTTCATTGAAACTTTCTGAACGCGTTGTCTCCTCTTCCAGAACAAACCCAGCATCCCGAGCGAGAACAGCCTGGCCCTGCTCGACGGGGCGTCCGGGGACCAGACCCAGTGGCACCTGGGGCAGGACGACAGCGCCCTGCGCGGCAGACACCTGCCTCCATCCCCGAGGAAGCACGTCTCCTCCGGTGGCGCCAGAGAGTCGCTGCTCTTCCTGGCGGAGGACAGCAGGCACGGGCCGCCCCCCGAGGCCCCCGAGGGCTGTCGCGTGGCGGCAGGACCGGTGGTGCCCACTGCAGAACCGGACTCCCGGCGGGCTCCTCCCACCACATCGCCCACCGGGGAGGGGGAAGCGGAAGACACGGAAACACTACGCCGGAGCTCAGAGGACCTGCAGGTGCCCGGCCTCGGGCGACGCCCGTCCAGGTCCGTCCCTTGGGAGAAGGAAGGGAGCGAGGCCGAGGAGCCCGCGGAGGGCGCCGGACTGCGCCGTGAAGTCGTGCCTTTGAGCCGCACGAACTCCCCCTTCCGACAGGACTTGACCTGCTCGGAGGAGAACTCAAGTGGGAACCAAGCTTAAGGCGGCGGTGAAGAGTCCGCCCCTTGCATCCAAGCTCCTCGGGGGACGCGCTAGGGTTCCCTGTAGTAGGTACAGCGAACAGTTATTTGTGGGGACGACAACCCTGGCTGCCGTCCAACACCTCTCTTCCCCGGGAGCGAACGCAGGGATCTCGCGGGCACATACAGTGCCCACTGGTGTTTTAAGTGTGAGCCAGTTCCACTGTGCTCTTAAGTCGGGTACCGGGTGTGTGCGGACAGTGTCTGTCGGACGCAGGGTTGCGCAGTATTGGTGCTGAATGCCGTTCATTTCATTTCAACCGAGTGTGCGTCTGCCGCGGCCCGCCGCACGACCAGTCAGTCGCCCCAGACCGGTCCGGTTGAGCGCAAACTGGTCGAGATCTCAAAACTGGACAGAGCTCCCCTTGAAATGCTGAAACTCTTGACCCACTAACTGCCTTAATCTTATGCCTCTACTAAGCAAACTTAAGTAATTTATGGAGCTACTCGTGGACTCTCAAGGACCGGTGACCGTGTCCTGCAGGGCGGCGATGCCGTTCCCAGCCGCTGGATCAGGGACAGAGTTCGTTTCGCTGCTCCGTGAGGACGCTCTTGTGGGGCTGCCGCCCTGCGTTCCGGAAGCCCCCGCCTTCCCTCGGTGACCTGCGTGGTGACCGCGGGACGTTAAGGACGCCGGGTGCAGGGGGCTCGCGCCGTTTCCCCGCTCTCGCTGGAGCCCGCCCCCAGGAAGCCCAAGGCCACATAAACTGCCCCGATTTGCAACGAGAACAAAACAGAACGAAAACCCTGCGAGTCCTTTTCCCTCAACTGATAATGATCCAAGTTGCTTGTGTCATCTCAGAGTCACTTTGAAAGCGGTTGCCTCTGTATTTCGGGAGCTGCCGACTCACAGGAAGGCTGTGAGGAAAGCTCGGACAGTCCCCGCGCGCCCCGCCCTGCCCACGCCGTCCCCGGGCCGAGTCTCACGTCCGCGGGAGTCAGTACTGATGGTCCACGCTGCTTTCACGTTTCCTCAGTTTCCCCCTACCGTGCCGTCCGTTTGCTGTTCCAGGATCCCGTCCGGGAGCCCCCAGACTCCTGGGTGTCCCGTCTGCCTTGACCCCCCGCCCCCTCGGCTGTGACCGTCGCTCGGACTTGCCTTGCTCGTCGGCCTTGGCAGTTGGGAGGGTGCCGGTCAGAGAGGTGGCTGCAGGCCCGTCCGTGGTCACGGGTCTGATGGTTTTCTCACGGTCGCACTGGGACTGCGGGTCTCAGGAGGAGGGTCCCCCAGGGACAGTGAGTGTCACTCTCATCACGTCCCCCGAAGGGCACGACCCATCCACGCAATGCGTGACTGTGGATGTCGACCTTGATCCCTGGCTGAGGTCATGCTGGCAGGTTCCTCCGTCACAAAGTTCCTGTGCACCCCCCCCCCCAGCCCTGCACACTGTGGCCTCGAAGGAAGTTGTGGCGTGTCCTCTTCTCCAGGACGGAGGGTCCGCGTCACTCGCTTGCAGTTCGGCGAGGGACATTTGTCCCTTCGCCCTCAGATTCACCGTCAGGTTTGGGAATTCGTGGGAATTAACTGGGAATCGTGAGTCAGTGGTGTCGGGAGAGGCCAGATTGGCAAAGAACAAAACCCCAGTGAGGTTCTGGCTGGAGGGTACCAGCGCGCTCACTCCGATGCTCCGCGCGTCCCAGCCGTGACTGTTTTTAACTGTCACTTTAGAGAAGGCGTTCCAGACCCCACGCGAGCGAGCGAGGGCCCATCGGGACTGGCCTGTGACGTGCTCACTGAAGGAAGTTCGTTACCTCTCGGTTAGAAAAGTCTCAGAAGGGGCTCTGTTGGAAACAGTGCTTAAAAATATTTATTCAGGCCCATCTCAAAACACCTTAAAGAAAATGACATGGTTTTTCTGTTTTAACCTACATCCCAAATTCTAAAAGGATACGTTTTATTTAGGACAATTATTCATTCGTTTTTACAAAGGAAGACACGTCTTGCTTTCTGTGTAAGCATGAACTTTCTGTATGTGAAGGAGAAACGTGTGAGACTTTTTTTTTTTCACAGCACAGAAGAAAGACCGAAGGTCCCGGGCAGATTTTGTTTTTGTGTGCCCGTGACAGAATCCCATCTGGAAGGACATAACGGGAAAGTCCCTTTGTCAGAAGCGCTGTTTCCGACGGGGAGGGGCTGGGGGTGGTGTGGGTGCTGCTCCGCCGGCACACGCTCCCACCATGGCAAGGCCGAGCGCTCCGAGCCTGTTGGGTGGAGGGAGAGGGCGGTGAGCCAGGCCGGGTCCCACCTGGAACCCACAAAAGGTCCCTTTTCTGCGAGGCTCCTGTGACCTGTCACCGCCAGATCGAAGGTTCCCCAGTTCCCCTGCCGCTGGGATGTTCTTCCCGAAGACATCGCCCCTGTTCTGTCGCAGACTCGTGTGAAGGAGCCACACCTTTGGCTCTGGCACGTGGCGGCCTTCCCGCGGCCCTGGGCTGCCCCCGAGGCCCACCCTGGCGTCCACCCTTCACCCTCCGGGGTCCCGCCCCGGGCATTTCAGGCGGACGGAAGGGGAGCGGGTGGTTTGAGGGGCTGTTGCTGTGTAGAGGGAAAGTTCTGTTGCGTAGTGTACCCCAAAGTTTACCTCCCCCGGCGTGGTGTAGAGAGGTGCCCAACCATAGCGTGGCTACTCTTCTGGTTAAAAGGCAGTGACTCATTTATTTATTGGCTCCTTGTGCTGGTCACAGGCCAGGCACGGTCACCGGGGACGTGGGAAATGAAGTAACTGACGTGTTCCCGCTGCGAAGGAGCCCGTGAAGAGGAGAAGGAATTGCAAATATCAATAATAGTGATGATGATAATAATAATAATATAATAATAATAATAGATCCTGCTTAGACGTTATTAACCCAAGATTCTACTACCAAATCAGTCTTTTGAAGCTGCTTTATCTAAAACGAGCTCTAAGTTCAGAACCACAGTGCCATTTCCAAGCTCGTTAACTCCCTGTATGATTACTATATGAAGCATCTGTGATAATGCTGCTATCTAAGAAACTGGCTTGTCAAGGGGCAGACTCAGAGACAGACACCACGAGTCCTGTTTTGGGCGTCTCCGCCTGCACTTCCGTGCCGCCCCCAAACCAGGCCGCGCGGGGCTGGGAGCTGGGCTGGGGCAGAGCCCCTCTGGGACCCCCCGCCCCCGCCCCCTCCCTCGTGTGAAGCTACCAGGGGCTCCGGGACAGCAGCCCGGGATCTGCTGCCTTTGTCTGGCTAACAGCGTCCTCCAAGGCCGGCCCCCTCCCTTCGGAAGGAGAACTGGATGGGACGGTGCCGTCATTTCGTGCGGAGGCCCCGATGAGAGGACCCAGGATGCTGAGAGGGAGCGTTTCTCAATGAGGTGGAGGAGCAGACAGGAGAACACTGTGAATCTTCCCAACATGGGCAGAGCATCTTCCCCCTTCTCTAGAAGAGCTGGATTTTCAGGAAAACTATTTTCATGAATAAATTCCCCGACGCAAATTCCATTTTTGTTTAGCGTATGAGACTGGGGTTCTGGGCTGATACTTGGGAGCCCCAGTATACGTTGAGGAACGTCAAACGGATACCCAAGTCCGGCTTCTCCAAGACGCCTCACAGCGCCGGGCCGGTTCTCCCAGGCGCCGTCCGGACTTGCAGACCTTCCCGCCCGTCCCGCCCCGTCCAGCCCGGTCGCGTCTCGGTGTCTGTTCCTTCAGGTGTCTTTCAGGGGCAGAATGGTCTGCACCAAACCAGTTCGAGTTTTGGTTTGGTCAAGATAGGGAGTTATGCATATTTAGACAGAAGCATATTTTATTTGGAAAATAATAGGAATCTGTGCAATATTTTTTCCCGCGTAATGTAGTTCGGACGGAGACGCACATCTGCTTCTCCAGCAGACGCCTTAAGGTCATCACGCTTCTCAGTGTTTGCGTTGAACTGTATGTAGCAGCGTTCTAGGTGATTTTAGAGAGAAAAACAGTCTTTGTATTGTCGGCAGGAGAAATGTTTTTGTTTATTTAAAATGATTACGGAGACTGCATTGTAACTAACTGCCTCAGCAACAATAAATATGCAATAAGAAAATCCTGAACCTTAGACTAGTGTTAACAATATTGTTACTTTAGGGGAAATGTATGTATATAGGGCAGCAAGCTGGTTCTGTGTAACTAACCCCAAGTCTCACCAAGGTCAGGTGCGCGCCACAGACCGGAATAGCCTTTGGGATGAATCTTTGGTAGGATCGACACAGGGCATTGCCAACACCCTCGACCCTCTGTAAAGGAAGTTAGCTTTTGTATAATGTACAGTTTGTTTAACCTCATGGCTTCTGTAGCTCTCTACCGTTACGATACTTGAAGCAGGCAGAAAAGCACTGTGGGAAAGTCGGTAGCTCTGGATGCAATATGCAAACATACCAAAAAAAAGAAAAAATAGAACAAGGTACTGAGCTGTAATGATCACTGGATGCTTTATAACCGGAAAGCTAGGTGTTTTGTTTTGTTTTTTCAAACCAGTGTTCAGTCAAGTGAAGGAACTTCGAACTGTGCGATCGTGTGTCGTCTGTAGAATCACAAATGATTACCTCTTTGCTGTGAGAAACCTCGGAGGTTCTTCGTCTCTGTGCCGTTTGGGCTCTCGATGAGGACATCCGTTCCTGTCCCTCGGCAGGGGACATCGAGGGGCCTGAACAGACCCCCCGCCGGTGGGCGGCAGGGTGCAGCGTGGGAGCTCGGCGCGTGCGCGAAGTCAGCCTCCCGCGGGGCGGGGCCCCAGCTCCTCTCGTGGCCCCGAGAGCTGTGGGACGAGCAGGTGCCGGGCGCGGGGCTTCCCGAATCTGCTGGGACCAGTGCCCTGAGCAACGCCTAGGACGGCAGAGACGCGAAACGTGTGTGAAACCCACCGCTTGAAATGCCTCAATCTTTTACATGAAAGGTACGGGAGAGTTCCGCGTGGGCCTTCCCCAAAGTTCGCCCCTTTGGCTGTAAAGGGGCACCTGTGTGAAAGGTCCGAGCCTTCCCCTCGGCTCGGAGACGGGTGTCTGCCAAGCCCTCGCCGGCGCTGAGACCGGCTCCCTGGGCGCCTGCGTCCCCGAGTTTTCGGCAGAATCACTGCTGCGGCTGAGCGCTGCTGGGAGAACACTGTGGACGCCGGATTGCCTGGGGGGCTTCCTTTAAAATATGCAAAAGTCCCGTGAAGTGCCCAACAACGCAGTTGTGAAATAAAGTTGGTTGTGATCGACGCTCCGTGTGGTGGTGGCTCTTCTTCTACAGCTGGGCCGGTGTCCCCTGGGGTGGGTTCTCTAGGTGACCCATGGCGGGGCCTCCCCGTCTCCTCCTCAGCTTTGCGTCCCGGCCAAGGCAAGCCTGCAGTGTCCCCGGCGGGTCCGGTCAACTACCTCCTCAGGCTCTTACACTCATGAGGGGAACGGAGCATCTAACTGTGTCAGAACAGGACTAGTCCCCAAGTGCAGCAGCCGCACTGATGGCCGTCCTCTGGGAGCCGAGGGCGGGGAGGACACACGGTCAAGTGCGTGAGCAGAGCTCCCGGGACTGGAAGGGCGACCTTCTCATCCGGGAGCTGCGGGGGCCCGGGCTGGAAGGAAGGTCACACCCCTGTTGACACAAGCACGTTTGAGGCGGAAGGACAGAGTGGCCCCCGTGTGCGGGAGACAGAAGTGAAGAACCCGGGGTGGAGAGGTCAGCCGTTTTCCTGGGCGCGCGGAGGGGAGTGAGGCTCAGTTCCAGAAATTACAGCTTCCCTGCAACCCGCATCTGCTCAGTAGGGTCCCGCGGCCCCAGGCAGAATCCCTCCCTCCGCGGTCACCCCCTGGTTTCGTGACGGTCCGCTTACCTGCCCCCTTCCCCAGACCCAGCCTCGCCGGCAGCTCAAACAAACGCTTAGCGCGTGTCTGCTCCGAGCTGTTCTGTGGGGAATTGGGGGGACGGGGAAATCAGTAAACAGCGAATTTCCGTGTGCGCGTGTTACTGCGGTTTCCACGCCGGCACAACAGCCCGTCTACCCTCCCGTGACCTGTCCCCTCGAAAGCAGAACCTCGTTCTGGAAGGACGTGCAAGCCAGCATCCGGGAGGAAGCTAGCCCTGCCGTCCTTTCTGCGTGGATTGTGGGTAAGGTTCTTTCTCGGGTGACAGTATTATTATCATACGTACTTTTAAAAGATCCACGAACCAAAGGGTAATTTAAATAGTTGGCCACCGGCAAGTAGAGGTGACCCTTTGTCTTCCAGCACAATCTCTTTCTTTACGCACCGTTGCCGGCGAATGAGGTGCAGTGCTAGCTAGCCGCCGGGGCCCCTGTGTGCTGGGCATTTCACTCCGAGTAACGGACACAGGCGCCGGCACTGGGTTTGTTCAGGGATGGCTCTCCGCACCCGGGCCGTGGTCTGGAGCTGTCAGCCGGGCGGGAAAGAACGGAGGGGCGGTTCACAGTTCATCTGACTTGACATGACTTGAGACAGTCCCAGCCGGAGTTGACCCTTGGTGCCTTGTCAGGCAGGTCAAGGTGTCGTCTGCGTACAGGAGGTCAGCTGAAGGACGTGGCCCTGACATCAGACTTCCCGCCTCATGACTTGCCCCTTCTTCTGTGGTTTGTCTTGGGTGCCCCAGCTTGCACACCGAACATTGTTTTGTTTGTTTGTTTGGTTTTTAACTTTGTCACCGTGTTAAATGTCACCAGCCCAGTATTCCCCTAGTTGGTGTCTCCCTCCCCTCTCTCTTCCGTCCATTGCTTCCTCCCTCCATGCAAGACCACGTCTCTGGGGGTCTGCCGCCTCTTCCAGGAAGCGTCATTTCTGTGTCCCTGGTTCTGTTTTGCTCCCTTGTTTGTTGTGTTGATTGGGTTCCACTTATAGGTGAGATCGTATGGTATTTGTGTTTCACCGCCTGGCTTATTTCACTTAGCATAATGCATATTTTAATGTTCATTCACATACCACTTAACATGCTATATGCATTTAAAATAGAGGAGAGGATTGTAGCCAGATCTTTGGAGGAAAAAACTCTGTCAGTCGAAGGCCCAGCATTTTCTCCCCAGACGCACAGGTAACCTCGCACCCACCCCGCTGGGAGAGCACGCGCCTCGTTGGGGTTCTCCAGAGAGAGGCGCCATCTGATGCAGACTCAGCGAAAAGCGGTCGGAAGGGAAGAGCGTGGCCTTACAGATTTGAGACTCCAAGTTTCCCCTTTCATCTTGTTTTCTGTTGAGAGACGTATCGTGGCCTTAGCCCTGTGTAAAGGGCAAGGACTAACGTAATGCTTGGGATGCTTGAGTTAAAGACCCAGTTCCCAGGAAGGTTCTTCACACGCGCCTACAGGTAGGTCACTTCTGTCGTCGGCGGTGCCACAAAATGCAAACAATACCCAGGAAGGGGAGCGACCGCATCCCAACTTTCCCTTGTTGACGCTGGGCCACTTTGGAAGCACGGCCCCGCCAGGGGCCTCTTGCGTCCGTGACTGAGGGACACGGCCCACGCCTCGTCACAGGCGTGCAGCTAAAGCCCCTCACCCCTTGGTGGGAAGAGGGGGAAACGTGCTCCATTTCCCCCGTGGTTTCTGTGTAAAAAACCGCAGTTGCCACTCAAGGGCAAAGACGGTGTCCCCAGGTTGTGGAAAGTGGAGGCTGCGGATGACAGTCACGGGGGCTTTCCCTGGAAGACATCGTCCCTGGAAGGTAGTTCTACCGCGTGCGAGGCAGACATTACCGGCACTGAACACTGCTCTGTGTCGGCTGGTGGACTACGACGGATCAGCGGTGTGGGGTTGACCGTCCACGCAAGTCTTCCGGGCGGTCCCCGGCGTCCTTCCCGCGGTGCCGCTGCACCCCCAGGCGTGGGAGGAGACCTGCAGGGGGGTCAGACACGCGCTCGAGTCCGGCCGTCACGTCACAGGCCGTGGGCCTCCTAAGGAGGCCGGAGGCCCCTAGGTCGGCTGCTCCGCCGCCGACGCTGGCCTCGGGTGCTGCAGCCCCACTCGGGAGCTCTCCTTCCCTGCCGGCTCGGGCTCTCGGTGCCCTGGGTGGCCCTCCTGCGGGAGGCGACAAGGGACACAACAGCTGCCAGAAAGAGGACCGACAGCAAGGCTGCCGTCCCCGAGCCAGTGGCCGTGAAAACGGGCGTGGTCAAGCCATCGGCCACCTGCGAGGATGGAGATGATGGCGATGTGAGTGCCAGAGCGAAGGGCAAGGGCTGCGGCGGAGGAGCTGCTCTGGAGTGGCACCAAGGAGCGCCGGTGCCACTCAGCACGGCGCAGAGGCCGGGGCGGGGAGGGAAGTGGGGTTGGCCGCTCCCGGCTCGCGTGGCCGCGACCGCGGCCCTGGCACGGGGGGTCGAGTGTGGCCAAGGGCGGCGCGAACTACCTACTGCGGTGACCGGGCCTTCCTGCCCGGGACAGGGCTGTGTGTGCGGCAGTGAACGCAGGAGGCGAGCCCACAGGTGTGTTTCTGCGACACTTCCACGCAGACGCCGCACAGACAGAAGCACATTGTTTCCAACGCCCCCCCACCCCCTTTGCCGAGAGCCCTGGTTCAGGACGGAAAGGAGGGGGCGCCGCGGCCCTGTTCCAGAAGGGAGGCGAACTCAACTCCCGCGGGCGGTCCTCGTGGGAAACCTCTCCAGCCCGAGGACGCATGGAGACCTCCCCACCCCCTCCCAGCCTCGCGGGCTGTCCCCACCGTCCCCACGTGGGTCTGGACTCGCCGAGAGAGTGGAACGGCTGGACGCTGACCCGGACGTCCAGAAAGGGAAGCCGCGGCGGGGCGGGGCCTGGCGCTGGTTCGGTGTGGACCGCACGTGTGTGCGGAGCTGTGGGCGCCCCGAAACTGTGATTTACGTGCCCAGAAATGCCAAAGGCAGCACGCAGCTGCCCTTGGAGCTTCTTAACTGGTCTTCGGAGAAATATCCCTGCCAGAGAGAAAGCGCCAGTGGACTAGCTCACCTTCTCGGTGAGCGTTCAGACCCTGTCCACTTCCATATTTACCGTAAAAAAACTCTGGGTCGCAGCGACGCTGTCAGCCCGGTCCCGGGCACTCTGGGAGGAAAGCATAGAGAGTCCCCCCGCCCCCCCACTCAGTGCTCTTCGGGAAAAACAGTCGAGCGCAGCTGGAGGGTAGGTTCTCCGGCCACACTGTGCGGCCGCCCCTGGGAGTCGTGACATCTTTTATCCGAGAGACAGCTGTGGGCTGGGAAAAGTGAGAGGAGCCGTCGGCTTGGCCTTGAAAGGTCCCAAGCCCGGGACTCCAAAGGGCAGATGGAAGCCGACCAGCAGGAACTCTGGGTGTTCTCCAGGGGCCTTGCAGAGCGTGCATCCTCGTCCCTGATTGTCGACTCGCTCTGTCCAGCAAACTGTCACCTCTGGGGGTGGGTGGCTGTTCTCCTGCCTGAGCGTCTAGGGAGTGTCCATCCCCACGCAGAGGAGGGAGAGATCCCATGGCACACCCCTCCCTGCTTGCTGAAGGTTTCTGGACTCTCTGCGTTCAGACAGAGAATAGGCTAGAGGTGCCCCCTGCCCCCCCAGAGCCGCTGGGAGTTCCTGCGGTCCCATCAGAACCCAGCATTCCCCACGCACTGTGCCAGCCACTCCCTCTGTCTTTGAAAACGCAGAACGGGCTGCCTTACCTAGGAAGAAGAGAACAATGAGACCGTTTCTGTCCTCCGCACCAGGGTGTGCCTGCGGCAAAACACTCAGGGCTGGTGGCGGGGTCAGAGGAAGAGCGAAGCAGTCAACGCAGCAGACGTCTGGAGAGGATCCGGAGCCTTCCAGGTTTCTGAGGGGCTCGGCCCCGCTTTGCCCCATGAAGGGGGTGCAGAACCGAAGCTGCCACTCCGGGCGAGGCGGTCGAGGACCGAAGCTGACCGTCTCTGTCTCGGGCCTGGGAGAGGGTCTGTCTGCGGCTCAACCCCGGCGGGCGGTCAGTGTGGGGGTTAAAATAGGCTCCCGGGGACCACCAGGGGGGCGCGGGCGACTCCAGGTGCTCCTTAGAATGCGGCTTCATCCGTTCTGTGGAAACGGGCGCAGTCGGTCCGAGGGGGGAGTTCAAATGCATGGGGGGGGAGGCAAGCATATGTTTACAGCTGTTCGTACGGAAAATAACACAATTGAAATGAATCACAATGTAAGAATAAATCCTGTGCCTCGTGCACTCACAGCGGTAAACCTACTTTTGCCCCGCCCTGTGTGTGAGTCTCTACTCGGGTGTGTGTGTGTGTTACACAAGCAGTTAAGACC